CACCGCGCCGATCTCCTCAGACATCACCACGTCGACGCAGCTTCACAGGTCACCACACAAGTCTGCACATACAAGTCTACAGTCAGGTCTCCCAGAGCGTCACCCGACATAGAGATAGAAATACACAGTCCACCATCAGAAGAGCATCAACATCTCATCAGCGATGCTGGGATAGAAGATGATGGAGGCATCATTTTCTCAGACGCTGAGATACGATATTGGATGGTAAACAACCTAGATCTCTCTTCACCTTCCAAGAGTGGCAACGGGCGCCAGACATACCTGATAAAGAAAGACGATGCAGACGCCATCACCTTACCTCCGACATCGACTCGATTACGCGGTGCCACAGAATGTGGACACAGCCTACCATAAAGCCATAAAGTTCAGTTTAGAGGCGTATGTTCTGGCCTTAATAGATCTAGAAATCCATCAATGATTCTTATCACCTGATTTCATGACACGCATTTTTTGAAGATGATAGGATGATCTACTCGGCTCTACTTATGCAGAACCAGCAAGAACCACACCCTGTATGAAGCTAACGCCATATATTGATCGGACTCTAGACACTTCGCTAAGGAAGTCCCAGGCCACCTCCGCGAAGGAGCTAGAGCTCACCAGTTACAAGGGACGCCGCGGAGGATGAGAAGCTTCACCGACCCCACATATTGCTGAGTGCGGGCGGAAAACTAAACTTCACGATTCACTCAACTCCTGTTGAACACAGAGGTCGCTTCGCTGAAGCAAAGCCATACATATATATACTGATCGGGCTCTGACTCGATACCTTCGAAGGTTCGCGAAGGCTAAGTGGCTCCAAGTCTACTTCACACAGAAAATCTAGAATGGATACTTTCGAGAGCTTCACGAAGTCTCGGCAAGGCCCACCGAGAAATCTCCTCCAAGGTCTCCATATATTAGCCACTCATCATATATAGCTACTCGTCAGTCCGCTCAAGACATCGCATAAGTTGTCTATCAACTGTATGCCATATGTCGCCTATAAGCCTCGCCAAGACAATTGCACAGGCTATTTACAACACAGAACGTCGCTGTATTAATTAGTCAACGACGCTTCATAGATCTTCACAGGAATCAACCTTTCCAGATAGATTGCTAGAATATGCAACCCGACTACGATACACGATTATCTACATATGCGACCATTACATGAGATCTGCAGACAATTCAATATCGAAATTGAACAGCAGCCTTGTTACAGCTTAGTATAACTCATAATCGCCAAAGTTTCTGAGAAGAAATATGTACAACAAGTTCAGCTTTAATTCTACAATTATGACGATACATTCATGTATACAGTCTACAAGTTGACAACTTGCAAGTTTATTGTACCTTTATATAAGGAAGTCGGAATTATATTCTAAACTGAAGTTACTTTCACGACAGCCAGGAAAATAACCTTCCCAGCATTAATATTACAGAGCGAGGTATTTCACGGAGGTTTCACAAGTTTACCTTTAACCTCGAAACACGCGTGGTCACCGGGTAACTTCGAAGATACGGTGAAGACCGACGCATTATGCTAATATCAACGACGGCAAGATTTTATACAAGGTTTTTTTCCTGCTACACCGGTGACATCACAGCGCGGGTATTCTACAGAATCAAAATGCCTTGTTCTGATTGGACCGCGTTGGACAACGACCTACGCAAAGGTCGATCTTAGTTCACAGTTCAAGACTTATGTTACAAGTGACAACTATATATCAGTGAACGAGCAAGCCTCCTTACAGTCCAGTTAATCTGAACCTTCATGATTGAGCTGTTTTCTTCAGGTTAGAGACCGCCCCTGTCAAGTTAGGACGAGGGCACGGCAGTCAGGCGATTTTACATAAAGTTCAACGAGGACAGACACACCTGGTTGTGCACCTACATCGCCAAGGACTTATGGCGAGCTAATAACCTAGACGACGGGATACAAGTGGATCTAAATCCACAGCGTCTCAGACTACAGCTGAATTTCATCATCAAGCTACTAACACAACTAGATGGTTAGTAAACCTACTTAAGCTTTCTGATTGGAGAATTAAACGGAAGTTTCACCCTCCAACTTGGGGATCTGAATATAGTGCTCCAACACCTCACAAGTGAGGTTTATGAACACGCCTGGATGACATACTTGGACTCCATGATACGACGATTCTATCACGATGGCCAGCAAGAGCACTGTAAATTTATCTCCACCGAACCAAACAGGAGGGAAAAATGCAACAGATTATTTTCTCTATCATCAACTTTACGCAGAATGAAGTCTCACGTGACTATATCTCCGTTTGGATCAGAACTGTCATACTACGCGTGCATACAAGACGGATGGACCCAATCCGACCCTCCATGAGCTTTTAATACTCATGATATTAGAGCTAACTTCTATAATTGATCTACACAAATGTTATTTGAAATAATGGAGGGTTTATTTCTGGAGATCCGATATGGTGGTTGCCAACCATTATCTGAGAGATATCACCACCGAGGACGTCTCAGGTATCCACCAATTCGATCCCATGGTCCTCGCACAACAGTTGACAGTTCCTCGGAGAAGATAAGTCAATCTTACAGATTTCTACTTATCTTATAACAGTACTAAATAGCTACATGCTATATATAATTTGCTTAAGTTCTTTTTATCATCACAGTACTATGATTATTACATCATACAATATATAAGTTAACAACTCTACAGAGTTGGTTATTATATATTTACCTTAAGTTAATCATATCTTAAGAGTAGTATATTGTAAAAATATATAAGCTAACAAACTCTACAGAGTTTGGGCTATTATATAGGTAGCTTAAGCTTATTCATATCTTAAGCTCAGTACTATGTTTATATCATATAAGTATATTAGCTAACAAACTCTAAAGAGTTTTTGCTATTTGGCTTAAGTTTCATCATATCTTAAGCAATATGGTTACATTATAACATGTATTAGCTAACAAACTCTACAGAGTTTTTGCTATTATATATGTAACTTAAGCTTATTCATATCTTAAGCGCAGTACTATGTTTATATCATATAGGTATATTAGCTATCAAAACTCTAAAAGAGTTTTTTGCTATTATATATTTGGCTTAAGTTTCATCATAATTTAAGCTTTATGGTTACATTATAACTTGTATTAGCTAACAAACTCTACGGAGTTTTTGCTATTATATATGTAGCTTAAGGTTTCCTTCATATCTTAAGCTCAATACTATATTTATATCATATCAGTATATTAGCTAACAAAACTCTAAAAGGTTTTTTGCTATTATATATTTAGCTTAAGGTTTTCCTTCATATCTTAAGCTCAATACTAGGTTTATATCATATAAGTATTTTAGCTAACAAACTCTAAAGGGTTTTTTGCTATTATATAATTAGCTTAAGTTTCATCATATCTTAAGCAGTATGGTTACATTATAAAATGTATTAGCTAACAAAACTCTACAGAGTTTTGCTATTATATATATAGCTTAAGTTTAATCATATCTTAAGCTCAGTACTATGTTTATAACATAAAAGTATATTAGTTAATAAACTCTAAGGAGTTTTTTGCTATATACATTTAGCTTAAGCCTAATCATATCTTAAGCTTAGTACTATGGTTACATTATAGATTTATTAGCTAATAAACTCTACAGAGTTTTTTTTTTGGCTATTGTATATGTAGCTTAAGTTAATTATATCTTAAGCACAGTACTATACTCATATTGTAAAAATATATTAGCTAACAAACTCTACAGAGTTTTGCTATTATATATGTAGCTAAAGCTTATTCATATCTAAAGCTCAGCATTATATCTATATCATATAAGTATATTAACTAACAAACTCTAAAGAGTTTTGCTATTATATAATTAGCTTAAGTTTAATCATATCTTAAGCTTAGTACTATGTTTATATCTTAAAGTATTTTAGCTAACAAACTCTAAGGAGTTTATACTAGCATATTAACAAGCTTAAGTCTATTAGTCTTAAGCATTGTATTAATGTTATATATACTTTATCATAATAAGTACATTGTAATAACCTTTATATGGCAGCTGATAAGTTAGCAGCAGGAATTCATCAGTTCAGTACCTTTATGAAGTTCCATAGGGTTATTACAATCATCACAGTTCAAATCACTAATTATTAAAATCCAAAGTATTATATATTCCCACCCTCCTTCCATTCACGGATTCTACAAGCAAAAGAGCATGAGTCAGGATAAGGAAAATATGTAATTTTTAGAGTAAAATTGATATTTTATACTTATCCTGACTCATGAGGTAAGCCCTCCCATCCTCCCCGCATAACACTTTGGATTTCCCTGTAAATTCAAATGTTGGGCTCAGTATATGAGGAGAGAGTGAGGCACATGGGTGGAGGTGGCGCCCTCGTTCCCGCGCTTGTGGAAGGGAGGTAACTCGTGCTGAGTACTAATTAGTGATTTTACATTGAAGGGAGCTTCAATTAGGGAGATACAAGTGTTCCACTATGTTCGCAAGAAGAAGAAGACAAGCAAAAAGAGCATGAGTCAGGATAAGTATAAAATATCAATTTTACTCTAAAAATTACATGATTTCATTTAACATCAGAGTCACTTTTTAGCATGAAATCCATCGTTATCTTGACGATGTCTATGAACAACAATTCTCATTGGATAATTAGCCCGGCGTCAACCAATCATGTTTCTCCTTATTTCAGTGCTCAAAACTGCTCGAGTTTGAGTCAAAATTACGTTCTGGCTGTTTGGAAATAATTTGAATAGGTATTCAAATATCGAATCGAAATAGTGATAGTGGTTATCAGAAATCGAAACTAAGGTGTCAGATTCGATTTCAGATGAATCGAACCGAATAGTTGCTGCCTACATATATATGGACAATACCCCAAAAGGATATGATGTGTAAAGCCAATAACTGGTTTGTCCAGCCATGATTCCAGTGCTAATGTTAAACCACCCCACTCACCAGCTGTGATCAGCAGTGTACTGTTGTGTTGTTGAAGGCTGTGCGCTGTTACCTGAATGGGCTTGAGAAAGTGACAGATACAGTGACCGCTCTGGAGAGCCTGCTGGACATGGCCCTGGGCAAGACTTGTGTGGCAGAAATAGTTGACAGGTACGTTCATGGCTAGAGCTAGACTGTAGCATAAATAATTGACTGGTATGTTCATGACTAGAGCTAGACTGTAGCATAAATAATTGACTGGTATGTTCATGACTAGATCTGGACTGTAACGGAAATAGTTGACAGGTACGTTCATGACTAGAGCTAGACTAGCATAAATAATTGACTGGTATGTTCATGACTAGATCTGGACTGTAACGGAAATAGTTGACAGGTATATTCAGGACTAGAACTGTGGTGTCAACAGCCTGCAAATCCCCAAATATCCAATATTTAAAATTCAGGTGGATCTATTCTGTGTATTGTTTAAAATTTACTCTGGATATCCATGTTGGACCATTTTGATTGAAGTCAGGATAGCAATATTTGGTGATTGTATCAAATCAGGAAGGTAGACTTTGTGAAATTACATTAAGGTAAGAATGCATTCAATAGCATATATATTTTACACTGAAAACAACATAAAATGAGATACCATGGATCATTGAAATATGTAACTACCATGCCATCATTATAATGTGCATCCTGTCTCCTTAATTGGTACAGAGATGAGAGACTGTCTGTGATCCTGTATGACACAAACGATGACAATGATTTGGACATCAACAAAGCTGTCATCAAAGCAATCCTTGCCAAGGATCCCCAAAACTTAACCGTAACAGAAGGAGCAGCAGCAGCAGCATCCTTGCCACAGCCTCCTTCCACACACTCCAACTCTGTGTTCCCAAAGAGTGACAGCTCCAGTTCAAGACCCATAACCAACATGGCTGCCCTCAGGGACACAAACACAATACAGACAAACAGAGAACCAGATTTCAACCGGACGTTGAGCACAACAAGTGCAGATTCATGGGGAACAGAAGAGGAAGCTGAGGCTCTGGCTGCAAGCTACATGGGCTCACACACCAGCTCCAGCTGGGAGAGCAGTGATATGGCCAGCCCTGACACTCCTGCAGCCACAACTCAGGGCAAGGCTGGGGACACTGCCGTTGTACAGAGACTGGGTGGTCTGACACTAGGGGAGAGGACCAAGACGAGTAGTAGTTCTCCCACTGCTGTGGTTAACAGTGAACAGTCTAGGAACAGTAATGGCACAGTGAAGTCTGAGCCCACACTTCCATCTAGTCATGGGGGGTTAAACAAGGCGTTTGTCAGGAGAAAAATGCCTCAGCCCGAGTTGGTGGATATTCCTGGTGTTGGAGAGTTCTTTGATGTCCATGTTTTGTGGGTGTCCGATCCAACTAATTTCTGGGTAAGTAGATCATGCTGTCATTTTGAGGGTTTATAGCCTGTGTGAAGATCAGACCAGGCTATTGCAAAACTTAGTCTATAAAAAAGTCTATATTCCTTATTGAAGATCAGTGGATAAGTAAATTATGATTCGAGACAGGTTTCTTGTGTGGCTGTAGTCGAGTGAAGAGCCACGTTCCATAAATATATTGCTGAATCGTGACGAACCTGCTAACACTGAAATGTCTGGTAAGCGTGTTTACTACAACTTCCCCAATGGTGTACATTCAGCAATATCAGGCAGCTGACCATGTGTATATCTTTGCAGTGTACGCCGTACAAGATGGTGTTATGTCTCGAGAATATGATGAAGGATCTCAATACACACTTCAACTCTCACACTAAGGTAAGGACAGTAGCATGTCATAAACATGATAAAGCAGGATTCACACACAACACAAATCTGCTATCCAAGTACTGGAAAAATTCAGGAAAGACTTGTAAATCTTTGTAAAAATTTATGCCTTGAGGTAGATCATTATTCTGTGGCAGTTCAGTTTTGCAGACGAGAAAGATATATGTTGTGATATTGTGATTAGTCGTGGAATGTAAACAGAATGAAACAGGGTAATGAGAATCACCTGTTGAAAGTTGTGTGATTCTCTTCTGGCTATATGTAGAATCACCTGTTGAAAGTTGTGTGATTCTCTTCTGGCTATATGTAGAATCACCTGTTGAAAGTTGTGTGATTCTCTTCTGGCTGTATGTAGAATCACCTGTTGAAAGTCGTGTGATTCTCTTCTGGCTATATGTAGAATCACCTGTTGAAAGTTGTGTGATTCTCTTCTGGCTATAGAATGTTGTGTGTTGTGGTGCCTTTGTTTCTGACTTTTGTGGAATGTTGTCCTGTACCCTGCCTGTGATCACTACTCAATGTGTGTTGTGCTGCAGCGTGTTGTGCTGGAAGAGAAGGATTTGACTGCAGGGATGCTGATGGCTGGCTGCCTGGAGGGAGCATGGTACCGGGTCATCATAAAGAATATCATAGAGCATCAGGTAGGTCATCACTGAGAATAACACCCTGTATAACTTCTGTGATGAGATGATAATACAAAACCTAGGAGAACCTAACATTCAGCTTGCACTAGGGCAGGCTATCGATATAGATCATAGTGATCGATAATCGTTAACTAAATATCAATCGATTAACGATAAATATCTAAGACGTTACTTTGAGCAAAGATGTCAGAAAGAAATGAACTGGTGAGTGGTGACTTGTTTTTGCATAGATTTTTAACAAAACAATGCTCTGAACATAATTTAGAAACAGACCATGTATAAAGTCCTAAATTTACATATCGTTTTGAGAGGATTAAAACTTTTTTTATCACAATAGTTAATTAGGAGATAAACATACTGTGTTGGAAAATCAGAGGTATATAACGAAATTTTAATAGCTCTAACTTTGATTTAAAACCAAACACGCAACCGTGTTATTAAGATTTAGTAAAAATACATACTGTGTTGGAAGATCAGAAGTATATAACCTGATTATATACCTCTGAATGACTTTGATTAACCAATCACAATTCGTATTTACTGAAGTCATGGTAGAATCATTAAAAACATTTCCTATCGACGATATTTCTGATTATCAGTCATTTTAGCCAGCCCTCACATGCACTGTCGCCTCCTAGGATTGCTGTGGCAGTAATTTGAGTGCATGGATCAATCAACCACTGTTATTTTAAAGTGCTTAGTTCATTCTGACACATGTTGTTGATTATAATATCTCGCTAGAGTTACAGGTATGTTCTTCCCTGTTAATTTTAAGTCTGACTTGTAGTATTACAAATATACCAGCTTGCTGCAGATCTAGTTAGTGTGTTTGTTGTGAGTTGTTGATGGTAACACTTTGAACCTGGTTGTGTTTAGATGTCCGTGTACTTCCCTGACTATGGGCAGTACAACATCCTGGGGATTGAGGATCTGCAACCGTTACCAGAACAGTTTTATGCACTGCCGCTATGTGCAGTCAAAGCCAAGTTGCACGGTGAGGTTATTCTAGTTACTCCTTCAATCCTAGATGTAATTGTAAACACCATATGTACTGGTAGTGAGGATGAGAGAGTCATTGCAGGGTGCGATTTCGCTATTTACAGCAAGCTCTGGTGCCTGTTAGCGATGGCTGGTGCAGGTTGCCTTTAGTGACAGGTTGCACCCGATGCATGTACCAATAAATCCTCCAACATCTTAAAGCTGTTATTGTGTGTTTTAATTGGGAAGTATGTGACTGGAAGTAATACGTATCTCTCCACATGACTTGTTACAGCATGAGTATTTGTGTGCTCATAAATCAGTTACATAGCAGTAATCTTGTAATTGAAATTTATCAATAACAGTAATGCAAAATTGAACCATTTATTATTTATCATCATTCTGATGAATGTATCTGATACTGAGTACTTGTTGTGAAAATTGCTAAACAAGTATAAATGTTACTTTTGAGAACCAGTGACATTATTTTATGATGCAACCAAACTTGATGGTACAGCTAAACCTATAAGCCAGGTTGCACTTGGTGCAGGTGCTGAAAACCCCCTTGAATCTCACCCTGCATTGTGATGAAAGTTTACATCTGGTGCCAGTGATTTGTCAGCAGCTCATTTCTGGTTTCCCCCGCCGTGATGTTGCTGGAATATTGCTAAAAGCGGCGTAAAACCAAACTCAGTCAGTCAGTGTCAGCAGCTGCCTAGTGTCTACCCTATATAATACCTCTAGACCGACCATGTAGGTAACTGCAATCGTTTCTAGTTTTGGGACATGCCAAGTGAAATGATAATGTGATAATTTAGTGTAAAATTTAAGCCTGGTCCTTCAACAGTTTGTGTCATTAAGCTCATTTGGAAATTGTTGGTCCCCAAATGTTGTTTTACACCTGGGAAATAGCATGGGATCACTAGGAAATAGCATGGGTCACTAGGAAATAGCATTGGATCACTAGGAAATAGCATTGGGTCACTAGGAAATAGCATTGGATCACTAGGAAATAGCATTGGATCACTAGGAAATAGCATGGGATCACTAGGAAATAGCATGGGTCACTAGGAAATAGCATGGGATCACTAGGAAATAGCATGGGTCACTAGGAAATAGCATGGGTCACTAGGAAATAGCATGGGATCACTAGGAAATAGCATGGGTCACTAGGAAATAGCATGGATCACTAGGAAATAGCATGGGTCACTAGGAAATAGCATTGGATCACTAGGAAATAGCATGGGTCACTAGGAAATAGCATGGGATCACTAGGAAATAGCATGGGTCACTAGGAAATAGCATTGGATCACTAGGAAATAGCATGGGATCACTAGGAAATAGCATTGGGTCACTAGGAAATAGCATGGATCACTAGGAAAAGGAAATAGCATGGGTCACTAGGAAATAGCATGGGATCACTAGGAAATAGCATGGGTCACTAGGAAATAGCATTGGATCACTAGGAAATAGCATGGATCACTAGGAAATAGCATGGGATCACTAGGAAATAGCATGGGTCACTAGGAAATAGCATTGGATCACTAGGAAATAGCATGGGATCACTAGGAAATAGCATGGGATCACTAGGAAATAGCATCAAGCTGTGATTCAAGGAGAGTATACAACGTACTGTCATATTATATTGTGATATGTAAACACGTAGATATGTTATGTGCCATTTCCATATTTCAGATATCAGCCAAGACGATAGATCAGCACACAAAGGTGCCATTTTGTTCACCATTTTGTTGACAAGATCAGACAAAGCTTGTTTCACAGTTAGGATTGTCCTGATCTTAGCTGATCTGCACTAACATACTTTTGGGGATGAAAGACAATATGTTCTTGATGAGTTTTATTTAGCTACTCCATGTTGTGGCCTGGGAACCTTGAAGTAGGCTGCTACAGTTAGGAACCCCTGCATTCTTAGCTCAAGTTGGGGTATCAAAAGAAACCACTGACTTTCCTTCCAAGTTTGAAACAGTGGGTTTTCATCCTTTCTCAGACATCACGGCACATGTCTAACATTCATTATCCCCCGCCGCGCGTTTAGCACGAGCGGGGGATATAGTATTAGGCTCCGTCCGTCCGTACGAATTGGAATATCTTAAGAACCGTTCACTAGATTCTTTTCATATTTGGTACCTGGGTTCATCACACTATAAGAAAGGTCCAAGTCAGGTTTGGTGAACTTGACTTTCATTTCAAGGTCACAAGGGGACTTTCACGTTTTACCTGCATGTTAAGCTATCTCACGAACCGTTCACTGGATTTTCTTCATATTCAATACCAAGCTTTATCTTGGGAAGGCTCAGGGCCCAGTCGATTTTGGTGACCTTCACTTAATTTTCAAGGTCATGGCGACACTTTGAAGATTTCAGCATATTAACTTGAATTGTCAGCAAGATATTTTAAGAACGGTTCACTGGATTTTCTTCATAGACTTTCAAGACCTCCCTTGAATGTTTTTCAATAAGCAATTCCTTTAGTACTAGTTTTGCATATTTCATACACTATGACATTCATGTCAAGGTCAAAGTCAGTCTTGAAAATATGTGTGTGTTTGAACAACTAAAGAGCAAGATAATGTTTTTGTTGACATTTAACTTCATCTTAAACTTTCATTACTTTATAAGTTTGATTTGATAATTTGCGGCGGGGGATTATGTCACCTTAGTGACAATGCTTGTAACTCTTAGTGGTTCCCCCGCCATGATATTGCTGGAATATTGCTAAAAGCGGCGTAAAACTAAACTCACTCACTCACACTGTTCTTGCATATAAACTGGGTAATGAAGGCTGGGGGAATTTGTCAGTGTCAATTGTCTTTCTGATGCTGGCATTGTGACAGCTCCTCAAACTACCCATAAATGAAAATATTTGTATAATAAACCCTGAGAAACAAGGTGATGAGTATCTCCGTCTAACAATGGTTAGTTAATACTGCATGTATCTCAACTGCAGGAAGCAGAACCTTTTGTGTTTGTTCTATTTCGTTTGTTTATATTAATATCCTTTTACTTACGAATTGACTTATTGTTAAATCACATTATTTTTCATTCATTTATCAAACACCAGTTCTGATATTATATTGTAAGTTTTGTCTGCCAAAAGGTTCGTGTTCAATCCCTCAAATGCTAAAAGATGGTATTTGTTGTTACCTTGCCTAGCAGTCTTTGTAATGTTATTTAGCCTGCACCTCTTTGGGCTTTGCTGCCACAGACAGTTGATATGCCATGATATACTGCAAATATGAATGGCTTAAAACCCAACTAACTTTCCTACTGTAGGGGCGGTGGGGTAGGCTAGTGGTTAAAGCATTCGCCTATCACGCCGAAGACCTGAGTTCAATTTCTCACATGGGTACAATGTGTGAAGCCCATTTCTGGTGTTCCCTGCTGTGATGTTGCTGGAATATTGCTAAAAGCGGCGTAAAACCAAACTCACTCACTTACTGTATGCTTGTGGCATGGCGATTAATGGAGTTTCAAGGTAGGATATCTGTAGCTGTCTACACGTCTCTCACTGTGCCCTTTCCCTACCAGGTATCAACTTTGTGAGGATCAACAAACCCTGGTCTGAGGCGGCCAAGTACAAGTTCATGGAGATGGCCCAGGGACGGGACTTTGTGTGCTTGGTGTGTGACAAGAACAAGAGCTCTGGCATGGTGTCTGTGAAGCTGGTGGACACGTCCAGTGACCAGGAAGATGTCCTCATCGACGAAGTGCTGATTGATATGAATTTTGCACGGAGTTTGGACTCATGATGAAACTGTACAATCTGCAAACATGATAATGGTAGTTCACGGATGGCTTGAGCATAGCATGGAAAGCTTTGAGGTCTGTGTGTGGAATCCTTTCTAAGCAATTTTTGCCATTGTAATTGAACTTCTTATTGGTGTGACTGAGTGGATTGTCAGCAACACATACTCTTGTAATGATTGTATTTGAATTCCATGCTATTGAATCCATAATGTAGTTGAAGTATAGCCAATGTATTAATCTGTATGCATGAGCAGTGTGTAAACCTCAATAATACATTGTTTTAAAACATTCACATAGTCACACTGTATCCAATACATGTATTCAAGTTTATTCGATCCCACACAGCATTAGGTCTGTCACTGTGGGCAGATCTAAGACCTGTAGGGCAAAGGTGACGCTGCGGTAATACAGCCCTGGACTAGTGATTTCATGTGTGGTGCATAATGGAGAAATCAGATCAGGAGCACTGGGATTGTGTGTCTGTCAAGTGATTGTTAGAACTAATTCTCTCTGACCAAATATGATATTACAAATTGATTGTAATTGGTAATATTGAGTTCAGCCATTTTACACAACGTGATTTGACAATCAGCGGCAGGACATGGATTCTTATGAAGACTATATGACAAGACACTGTTATATCTTACTGACAGCAGTATCTAAAGTTTACAAGACTCTTGCTGCAGTTTGGTTACCTTTGTCTCGAGTCTGGTGGAGGAGCTTTAAATGATGGACAGTGTGCTTAAATTTCCCTACACAGTGCATCAAGAAGCACACCATATCATAGGGAAAGGACTGTACATAGTAACTGTGCCAAACGCTTCCTGTGATACGAGAGTGAGACTGCAGTACTTGCAGTCATGGACCCGCAGTCATTGACCTGCATATGACTGCAAGGTTGGCAAAACCAGGTTGGGTTCTTGTGGTGGAGAGTGTTCATATTATCCCTTCCATGGGTACTTGTGATTAAACTTGAGCCAGCTGGAACAGTGTCAAGATTTGAATTATGAAGAAACAAAGACTCTCTAAGGTCAAATGCTTTGAATTTATTAAGAATGAGCACATACTCTAAAAGTTAATAAAGACATATTCCAAGATCAAAACAAATATGAATAGTATGAAAGGTGATTTAATTTTCAGGTGCACAGATGAACCTGATTTTATTGGATGGATGTCCTGTTTGTTTGGTGCCATCATGGAAGACATGTCACAATGTACAAGGTTTTATTCTCATTGATTTCTTTTTACATGTATCATCATTCCATGAGACATTCTTATTCCGCTAATAACACAATCAGTGGGTTGTTCTCACCAAGAAAAAAAATCAAGAAAAAATAATTCTTTTGGTTGGATCTCATGACCTTTGACACTCAACCCTAGTCCCTCTGTGCACTTGACTCTTCCACTAGACACAAAGGGTCAGTGGATTGTCTCTGCACACTAGACAGGTAAAAATATTGGTTGTAAGGCAGTGTCTTACGCCTAGTTTTCAAACCGGGTCAAGGGAATGATCTTTGTCTAAAAAACCTTGTCTTAACTGGAATGTTCAGGAGACTGCATAATGTGTAAATATATTGGTGAAGCTGAACAAGGCAACCAGTAAGTGGAAAAGTTGTTATGAAGACAGTACCTTAATGCATCTCTATCATTCACTCTTAAACAATAATTATTCTGTTTATGTAAATGTATTAAGTTGAGTATCATCATATTTTATATATGAAATGGATTTTAGTTTGAGATGTGCTGTTTGTACCTAGGTTCAAGTGCATCTTTAGAAGAATGTGTCCTGTACACGCTAACAGGTATTCAAGATGAGTTGTCATTTAGTTTATCAAATCATTTTGTTATTAATGATACAATGTTAATTTTTCTTTAAATATAATTTCTAATTGTACTTATTCTTAAATCCAAGTGCCAGCATTATTAATGATAGTGCTATTCATCTAAGGAATACTTTATTGCGGGCATGCTTTATCAGGATTGAGTTTCTCATTCTCTCAAAAATCTGGACTGATGGATCCTTCACACATCTCAGAATCTCTAACACTGATTCAAAACAACCAACAGCCCCAAGAACCACTTGTCTGAAAAAACTGATTATGCTTTTGCCATTACCAAACTCCAGGATTAGTTTGGGTGATTCTACTTTAACAATATTTATGACAAATCTAGTCTACAAGGACAAAATAATACTTTAATTATTTCCTTTCTATCATGTGTATGTTTATAAACTGATCCTGCTCGAGGAATTCCCCTGACCACTATTGCCTTATGATGTTACATTGTTATGACAGTTGCTTGGTGTTGAATGTCTCCAGTGACAGTAACCTGCTTGATCTTACCTGTGATGTAAGGCAACGTCAGCACTGTCCGGTAAGTTGGTGCTGCCAAATAAAATATTTCATTCCATCTGTCAAGTTCTGTTGCTTATATCCACAATGGTAGATGCTCATGATGTTGATCACTGGATTGTCTGGTCCAGACTTGATTATTTACAGACTGCCTCCATATAACTGGAATATTGCTGAGCGTGGTGTTTAAACAACAACCAACTAACCACAGTGGTCGTCTACATGTTTTACCGATTTGGAAACACTGGCATACATTTAGGGAACCAAACCAGAATAGTCTACTGGATAAGTGACATATATACTCACTGGCAAATATTGTTGTCACATGCAAGTTTTTAATTGGTTATCTTGTGAATGAATTTTGGGATTTGAACCAGAAAGAGAGTGTTTTAATATGGTCGAAATGTTTCAATTACATGAAATTTACAAGAAACCTGACATAATATTCAAGAAAAATGGCCAGCAATGTTCACTTCACAAAGGCCAGGCAACCTGATCGATGCTTATCATTTCCCCTCAGTGCAGAAGTCAGAAACTCCCTGTAGACATTGCCCTGGAGGAAGTTATACTCTACATATCTGGGGGAAGATGGAAAGCTATATGTATGTTTCAGCCTGGTACCTCGCAGTGTGACGTAGCTTGTTGCTTGTCCATAGAAACACCATTGCCACTTATGGCAACAAACAATCAAGTTATAGACCTTCCCTGTAGTGGTCGCAGTTTGATGACATCTATGCAAGACAACCAATTCTGACACCAGAACAGTGCAGTGCCAGACAGGAATATTTATAATGTTCTGCTACCACACAAGTAGTTTGTGTCAATACCTTGCCCATCAACGCCAAACACAGCCATCATGTCAGGAGTGATGTGAGCATAGGGAGATGTGACCAGTTCTACCCTGGATCTTCAAGGGTCAGTTAACAAACAGCAAATGACAAACTGGCTACACAGACTTCTCATAATCCTATGATTGTTTTTTTCTCAAATCTGAGATTTGTCTTTTGAGTTTGTCAGCACCAACCTAATTCCTGCACAAGTGGGTTACACCAAAGTGATCAGCGCCTAGACGAGTATTTGCCCTTGGCATAAAAATTTAGGAGACATCATGACTCCTTGGTGTCATGAGAGGGAGTCATGGGCATGTTTTGGGAGTCAATTTCAGTTTGGAACTTTCATCAAGACATCAACTGTGATTGTAGGCAGGTCAGGTATTTACTCAGCTCTGAGCAGTTAACTGGCAAACATTTAGTTTTAGATGTTTAGATTATCTAAACTAAGGGCCCCATAACACTGCGTCAACAATGACACAAGCTTCTAAATTCACTGCATATTTGAGATAATTCGTGCATCAATTATGCAGGTTTTCTGTGTCATGGCAAACACGGCTAGACCACTATCAGTCTCTGCTTTCTTGAAGCTGAAATATGGTGATGTAACTGAAATATCCTGTACTACAGAGGTGTTAAAGTGCTGGAGAGTGGCTTTCATTCAATCAAAGGAGATGCCACATCAGACAAGGCAAGTGACAAGGCATTACTGGAATACAAATGATAACCTCTGAAAATAATGGAAGTCCAGCATTGTTGCATGTTGCAGTAACTACACGTACTGATTGTGTTACTGTTTGTTGTGTAACGTCGCACTCAGCAATATTCCAGCTATATGGCGGCGGTCTGTAAACAGTAGAGTCTCGACCAAACAATCCAGTGATCAACAGCATAAGCAATCTACACATGTTGGCATACGATGACACGTGGTAACCAAGTCAGTGAGCCTGTTAGTCGCCTCTTACAACAAGCATAGGCTACTGAAGACCAATTCTAACCCGAATCTTCACGGGTGATTACTAGTATTTTACAAATCCCTTATCTTACTTAAACCACAGCTTAGTATCACAATTTGTCTATTTACAATGTCATGTCCTCTATCCACTGATCAGGAAATGTTCATGTGATCAGCTGGCAGCTTCTCATTCGACAAGATCCTGTACATGTTTGCGAAAGTAACTATTTCTGAATGAAGAACATTAACACAGTAACTGCAACATTCAGCCTCCCGATACTAGCACAAAACCCCACATAGGATGTATAAAGCTGGCTTTATTTCTTAGTGTACATATTTACAAATCAGGCTTATGCTAAGCCCTCAAAACTCACAAGATGTTTTCACAGCTCACATTCCAGACAATTCCCCCCATGTGTCTCCTACAACTCCCAGAATTGTTTTCTAAAGTATCCAGGTCTGAAACACCCCTGTCCATGAAGCAGCAAACATGATCATGCAGGATTAGCACTTGATTGCATCGATAAGCACTAACAAAGTGCAATAAATTGTCAGTAATTGTATTCATCATCGGTTCAGGTAGATGTAAGAGAACAGAATACTTTCATCATGCACTAGAGGAGTACAATCCTGCTACAACTGCATGGGAGTCCACAGCAAATGTGTACATACTGTACTGTCCTAACCAGTCATGTTACACTGTCAGTACTTCACACGGTACTGCTCCTAAGTAAACAACATGGAGCCTCTACCCACACTGATTGTCCGTACTTAATCAAGCTCCATAGAATGGCCAACACCATCAGTGTATCAAACATATTCCAATCCATGACTGAATTATCAATAATGACATGAATCATTCACAATTTTTGTAGCAAATGTAGGTATTTTCCCCCTTGTGGATAAAGGGCTTTGGGTTGGATACCCTGTCCACCCCTCAGCTCTTGCCCTTCCCCTTGCCTTTCCCCTTCCCCCCAGAGCCAGCCTTTCCCTTCCCCCCAGCCTTCCCCTTCCCTGCAGCATCACCTCCCTTCTTCCCTGCAGCATCACCTCCCTTCTTCCCTGCCGTCTTGCTGGACGTCCCCTTCTGTCAACAGATAGTGTATTAATGTATGCTAAATCCTTTTATATGGGAGAATGTTGTAACAAGCAAAAGCTTAATTCCAACAAGGTCTAAAACAGTCTCAGGCACGCACGCATCGCGACGCACTCCACCCACCCACACCCACACCCACACCCACACACACACACACACACACACACACATAAATACAATCAGAAAACAAGGGTAATTTAAATAGGAAGCCCTTTACGTAGGTGCAGTGCAAATAAGTTGATTGAAGCATGTTGGTAACAAAGTGAGCGAGAGACTATAGGTATAAGCAATGTTACAGGGATATCACTTGGTACCCATACAGGCCCAGGAATCCCAACAGTATTTGGTACCGACCGCCACTTGAATTCCAACTTGGTATTGAAATGTCCTTTCATGTCTCAGTATATGGTCTGTAGCTAGACACTTGACCCTGATCATATGTCAGGATGTTGCTCTTCACGAGCATCTGAGACTAAGAAAATTGGACATGGGCCTGTGGTCAGTCTGAACTTGGATGTGTTTCTTATGAGAATACAAACACCTATTAAATTTGCATACTATGATTCTAATATTCCAATAGATATACATTTTTGTCTCCCAGGTAACATTAACTGCATTTATTCTAAACATCTCTACGTGTGGGAATACTTTCAGATCAACTAGAAACACTGGGCAACACACACTAAGCACTCACACCACTTTCTTCCACAATTGTCTGCAAAAGTTTGTTAAAAACAAAACCTCACTTATCCACACTCTCTCTCACCTTGATCATGGTGTCAGCCTCCAAGTCGTCATTGTCCTCATCGGAGCTGACTGCCATCGCTGCCCTGTCCTCACCATCCATGAGGTCATCCTCTTCCGCAATAGGGGCTCGACCACGCCTCTTTTTAGACATGACCCCCGTGGCATAAGGCTATTCACACATGAGACTCCTTGTTGTAGGTCCTAGTGAAAGCTGCCTTTGTCTACAACACAAGTGGACTGTTGGTTTACAGTTGGTGGACAACGCAAGTGTACAGTTGGGATGAAAAAAGTGTAATGATCCACACATCACGGTGTAGGGTTGAATTAAATAGTGTTTTATGCCAGCTTTCATCTTAACAAACATTGTCCAATTAAACATGGATGAGCAATACCTGAGGTCTGATGACAAACAATATCACACACAATGAGTACACACTTCCTTTTTAAAAGAACACATTCTTGTACTTTGGGGGGCTGAGTAACATCTGGAAGTTGAACCCACACCCTTAGAGCCAGGCACCAAATTGCCAGCACATAAAGTCAGAGATCTTAACCACTCAGCCACTGATGCTTCCAAACAACTGTTGGTCTACATAACATACTTTGTGTCACCCTTTAACAAGTGAAACTTTACAAGCCTCACAGGCAAATGTGCACACAAAGATGGCTGCTTTAACCATCATCTACAGTGAAACTACACCATCAGAGTGACACTGACCTTGGTATCCAGTTTACTGAGGGGATCGGAACTGTTTGGCCACTTCGTTATTTCCAGTATGTTGTCAAAGTCTTCCTTGATAATGTCGTAGTTATCCATGAAGTCGATGACCTCCCTGACCCCATCTCCGCCATGCTGCACCAGAGGGTGGGTCATCACGTGTCGGATCACAGACGGCAGGTAATCCATGTTTAGACCCTTCATCGCCTCGAGGTTCTGGGACAGGTAAAGTGATAACGTGAAGACAGGACAGTCTCCGAGCACATAAATATACTATAGGACTATTAGAATAAGGTGAAAGTAACTCTGGAAAGTTTTGTGACGAGGAAAGTACAAGGACATTGCCAGCAACACACACTAGCAGTATTTATAAAAATCTAATAATTGACTGATTTATTGTAATGATGAATACAAGTGCAACCACATTGTAGCCATTAAACAAATATGGGTTATTATTGAAGTGAGGCAAGGCGGGGCTGGGTACGGTGGGATGAGACAAGGAGACGCGATGTGAGGCGAAGTGAGGTGAAGTGAGGCAAAGCTGGGCTGGGTACGGTGAGGTGAGACAAGGAGACGCGACGTGAGGTGAAGTGATGCAAGGCGGGGCTGGCTACGGTGGGGTGAGACATGGAGACACGACGTGAGGTGAAGTGAGGCAAGGCGAGGCAAAGTGAAACATTCCAAGTATATTATTGCATGTTTATTGCAATGTGTATGCCAAATGTCTGGCAGCTTGTTCTGGTCCAGGGCCTAGATTTTCTAAGCTCTCTTAGCGCTAAGACAGTCATAAGTTAATGTTAATGTATGGGACTTACGACTATCTTAGCGTTAAGAGAGCTTCGAAAATCTAGGCCCAGACTATTACTAGTTCAATAGTGCCAGTCCACTGAGATACCACGTCCCAGGTTAACATGGATACCCCACTCAGACCCCAGTCCTTGTGTTATCATCATCTATGCCAGGTAGGGTCCACTGAGATACCACGCCCCAGGTTAACATGGATACCCCACTCAGACCCCAGTCCTTGTGTTATCATCATCTATGCCAGTTAGGATCATCTGAGATACCACGCCCCCAGGTTAACATGGATACCCCACTTAGACCCCAGTCCTTGTGTAATCATCATCTATGCCAGGTAGGGTCATCTGAGATACTACGTCCCAGGTTAACATGGATACCCCACTTAGACCCCAGTCCTTGTGTTATCATCATCTATGCCAGGTAGGGTCATCTGAGATACCACGCCCCCAGGTTAACATGGATACCCCACTCAGACCCCAGTCCTTGTGTAATCATCATCTATGCCAGGTAGGGTCATCTGAGATACTACGTCCCAGGTTAACATGGATACCCACTTAGACCCCAGTCCTTGTGTTATCATCATCTATGCCAGGTAGGGTCATCTGAGATACCACACTTAACCCCAGGTTAACATGGATACCCCACTCAGACCCCAGTCCTTGTGTTATCATCATCATCTATGCCAGGTAGGGTCCACTGAGATACCATGACCCCCCCAGGTTAACATGGGGAACCCCACTCAGACCCCAGTCCTTGTGTTATCATCATCTATACCTGGGCCCGTTCACAAAGCTCGTGGCAGAAGCCTAAGTTCTTCGTAACTTTTCTCAGTAGCTTTCATCCCTCCTATGTTACAGTATAGGAGGTACGTAATGCTACGAAAAGTTATGAGATCTTAGGCTTCACGTAGAGCTTTGGCAGAAACAGGGCCCGGTAGGGTAACAACATGCATCATATGTTAACATCTCACGGTTTGATGCGGCCAGGGGATAGAACTATGACATTCCACTCCATGGGCAAACTATCTATCCACTACAGAACAGAGACAGTCAGGTAAATACTGAAACAAGCTGGATGTCGAAGGTGACCTACTGGAGTCTCATGTGAGTCGCGGAGCTCCCTGCATGATGCGATCGGTCTTGTTCCGCTGGAGTTCTTGCCCAGCCACTGGGAACTGTGCACCATGGGGTAAGCTGCCCCCGCATCACTTCCCCGGGGATCACACTGGAGAAGATGGCCTGAAATATATACCATCTTGTTAACCTGGAGTCAAAACATTGGTTACTGTAGTAATTTATACTTACAGTAAACACAAGTCACTTTTCATTTAATCAGTCTGATTGCACTTGTGCTAGTTCCTAATCTGACAATACCTTAAGTACAATTGTCAATGGATGTAGTAGCAGCCTACCTGTGCTGGGAGCAGGTTCCAGTTTTGAGAAGATCTGATCTTCCTGTCGGCTAGATCTCCATCACAGATACTGTCTGCTGCACGAGCCAATGCCGACAGGTGCCGCGATGTGTTGCCTCTACAAACACAGGAAATTGTTTGTCAAGTCTGTCATCACTAAGTGAATTCGGACAAGAAATAAGAGAATAAATATGTAATTTTTCAAGTAAAATTGATATTTTTATACTTAGCCTGACTCATGACGAGAAGCCCTCCCAACCTCCCCGCTGAAGACAATGTGGATTTCACAGCAGATCCAAATGCATGGGCAGAAAATCAGGAGAGAGTGATAAGTAAGGCTGGTCATATGACTGTTTGCACGGGAAAAGGACAAAAGGGAGGTAACTCGTGGGTGAGGGTATTTTTACGTCCGCTTCGGGAACTTCAAGGGATTCAAGTGTTCCACTACCATTCGAAAAGGAGATAAGCAAAAGATCATGAGTCAGGATAAGAAAAAATTATGACAATCAGGCTTTAACAAGTTACTATGAATAGCCATTTTCCTGAAGTTTACCTTGCAGAATATGGAATGACACTTGTGTAGTTCTCCTGCACAAACAGTGGTGTGAAGGAGTAGTCATTGAAGAACAAGTCAGACTTGTCGTGGATCGTCATCTTGGCCGTCTCCTCTCCTCCAACAAACACCTTCCGACACACATCAAATGGACTCTGAAAACAACAGAATACAGATGTACATGCAGGATCAGATTTCATCTTCCTGTACTTAAAATTAGGGGTGGGTATTGCAGGGAAGTTTCATATTGCGATAAATTGCAATGCGAAAGCATGTATTACACTGAAAATCTGAATAAAAGCCCATGTTTCCGAATATAAGCCCGGGCTTCTATCTGGTGTCAAATTTCACTTGTCAAAACCCCTATTTTCTGCATAGAAGCCCTGGGCTTGCTTTCGGAAAACCCTGGTACGAAGTTTTCCGAATGCATGTCAAAATACCGGTTTTCGATCAGCGTATCGCAATACGTATTGTTTTTATGTCTGAACCGGTAAGTACCAGTAAACCGGTTATATTGCACAGTCCTACTTACAATGGTGGGCTAGACTGATACCCTTTGAAATATGATGTGTACTGACCAGCTTGTAGTCCTTCTCTGCATTCTTGGCGTCTTTCTTGGCCTGTTCATAGGTGAGTGTCTTGTCTGTGGCCGTCCACATACACAGGTTATGGATCACCTGAAGCAGCAAGTCATCAGTGAGTGTTGGAGAGAATGAAGTGTACAAGTGATGTGAATGAAGTTATTGAGTGTGGGAGTGAGAATGAGTGAGGTCAGTCCGTGAGAGTGAGTGAGTGTGTGAGAAACTGTGCTGCCCAAAGTGTGTAACATGTCTCATAAACTCAACAGGGATATACATGTTTAATCAACAACAACACAGATGTTACACCCATTTTAGACAATATTCATTTTAGCACTGTTCATGTTTGTGTGATGTTTGCATTCAATCAATAAATAAAGAAATACAGGTACACAATCTCTATAGGCTACTTTGTGTAATCACGTTGAGTGTTTGTACAATAAACCATTGGTCTCATAAAATATTTCCTGAATATTTGCACACAAGCACATCAAAATTTATTGGGTAATGGTTTGTTTTTTTAAAAACACAGCTTTTAGACAATAAACAATCCCTCCAGCTTAAATAAAAGAGTCTGTCCCTTGATGCTGCGGCTCACCTGTCGGACATCCTGATTGGCTCCCAAGATGATCTCGTTAAGAACAGGTGGAGCGATCTTCAACCCCTCTTTGTAGATCATGGACATCATGGCTCCCTGTGAACCAATACCACAGTGAGACTGACGAACATCATGCAGACCTTCACTTCCGTTACCATTGCTACAGTGACATGTACATGTAAGTCTGCCTGGCGCTCGGCATTAATGGGTACAACAAGGACTGGTCGGCTCGGAGTCAGTATAATGTGTCTGAGTGGGGTATTCATGCTTCACTGTGGCATGGTATCACAGTGGGCTAGCACTATAAAACCAGCTTCAGTCTGGGCTAGTACAAGCAGCCGCACATACACACGCATGCAAGTCGTCATATGAGCGCAATATTCTCAAGCATGACGTTAAACCCAATTTTACCTCACCTTCACATCCATTACCATAGCTACAGAGAAATATACAAGAACATGTATACCTCCACTTCAGTTACCCTTGTTACTGCAAGACACACATAGACATGCCAACCTTTATTATCTGTAGTACACACTCAATGGGTAAAACTAACAAACTGATTAAAATCTATCAAATACGTCAGAAACAAAGAAGTTGTCATTTTTCTAAACCCTGATATTTCCCCAGCTAATCCTCTCATAAAGTACTAGACATTGTCAATCATTATTTCAGATCTCCAAGGAAGGAGCTGACCTTGATCTGCTCCACCCTGGGTTTATAGAAGCGAAGTCGAAGCAGTAGTTGGACAGTGTGCGCATCTTCTGGTGGTTACGGTCGTTACAGATGCAGATGACCGGAATCTTTGTCTGTTTGATCAGCTGTACCATTTCCTGCAACAAAACACTTATCTTGTCAACAGATACCTCATCATTGTTACATGTTACATATATTTCCTGCAAAGAATATTTTCAATCTCATTAGTTACTTCTGGACAAAAGTTAAACTTCAACTTGGCTTCGATTTTCCCAATACTACATACTGACTAATTTTAATCAGATTGATAGCCAATCTAATATTCCAAAGGACGTCTTAATCCTCTGTGACATGGCTGCCAAATGAGGACCTACTTCACTTCCTGATTCGGGAAACCATCTGGCAGAAGAAAAATGGAACATTTATCGTAATATCTATTTTTCATGAAAGGCATCCCACTGGACTGGTGGTATGGAGACATGTGGGCTTCCACTCTACTTCGGTTACATCACTGTGTGCCAGTTATATAATGTGGTCAGGAAGTTGGAAATATTTCTTTCTTAGACTTAACACTTTGGCAAGACCCATAGCACAGGTGCTCACATGTATCAAGTATCACTGCAAAAAACGGAAAATCAATACAGCAAACCTAAGGGACAGCGAATAGGACTGTCTTGGCTGACATGGCCATCTATGCCTCCAGTTCTGTCACAGTGACTTACATCAGGATGGTCCAATCCACAAAGCAGTCTTAATGGAAAGTTGATCATAACCTGTACGGTCACATAGTAGCAGCACTAAGGTCTGTTTGTTGGCTGGACCCTGGAGCACCCAGTGACTGGTGATGACAGCTTACAACACACACAAGCCAGACCACAACAGGTCATTGCTCCTTCATCCACGGGACTACTACTGCTGTATCTATTACTGCTATAATTGTGTGGCCATTCTGACCAGACTGACCTGGATGCCACCCCGGTCCTGGTTACCAGCCATGCCATCCACCTCGTCCATGATGATGCAGTGCTTGTGGCCTCCTGTGTCAGCCCTGGACGGACCTGAACAGGAAGATATTGTAATTGTAGAACACCACCAAACACACTTCTTAGAAAATGTTCAGAGATCGTGTCCTGCATGACATGTCTTATACTGAATTTTAACACCTTAATCTTAGTCCACTTCACTTGACTAAGTGTGACCTGGATGTGGATGAGTTATGGCCTGGATGTGTTATGGCCTGGATGTGGATGTGCTATGGCCTGGATGTGGATGTTCAATGACTTGGATGTGGATGTGTTATGACTTCTATGTGGATGTGCTATGACTTGGATGTGGATGTGTTATGACTTGGATGTGAATGTGCTATGACTTGGATGTGGATGTGCTATGACTTGGATGTATAGTGTCATGACCTGGATGTGGATGTGTTATGGCCTGGATGTGGATGAGTTATGGCCTGGATGTGTCATGGCCAGAATGTGGATGTGCTATGACCTGGATGTGGATGTGCTATGACTTGGATGTGGATGTGTCATGACCTGGATGTGGATGTGCTATGACCTGGATGTGGATATGTCATGGCCTGGATGTGGATGTGCTATGACCTGGATGTGGATGTGCTATGACTTGGATGTGGATGTTATGCCTGGATGACCTGGATGTGGATGTGCTATGACTTGGATGTGGATGTGTCATGACCTGGATGTGGATGTGCTATGACCTGGATGTGGATGTGCTATGACCTGGATGTGCTATGACCTGGATGTGGATGTGTCATGACCTGGATGTGGATGTGCTATGACCTGGATGTGGATGTGTCATGACCTGGATGTGGATGTGCTATGACCTGGATGTGGATGTGCTATGACCTGGATGTGTCATGACCTGGATGTGGATGTGCTATGACCTGGATGTGGATGTGCTATGACATGTATGTGGATGTGTCATGACCTGGATGTGGATATGTTATGACCTGGGTGTGGATAAGTAATGACCTGGATGTGGATGAGTTATGACCTGGATGTGGATGTGTTATGACCTGGATGTGCTATAGCCTGGATGTGCTATGAAATGGATGTGGATGTGTTATGACCTGGATGTGGATGTGCTATGGCCTGGATGCGGTACTGTTATGATGTGGATGTGGATGTGTTTTGACCTGGATGTGGATGTGCTATAACCTGGATGTGGATTTGCTATGACTTGGATGTGAATGTGTTATGGCCTAAATGTGGATGTGTTATGGCCTGGATGTGGATGTGTTATGGCCTAAATGTGGAACTGTTATGGCCTGGATGTGGAACTGTTATGACCTGGATGTGGAACTGTTATAGCCTGGATGTGGATGTGTTATGACCTGAATGTGGATGCGTTATGACCTGGATGTGGATGCGTTATAAGCCTGGATGTGGAACTGCTGTGACGTATTCTATGTTTTTGTACTTGTCTTTCACTCACCCATGAAGTCCACCAGTGTTGTGTTGTTCAGTGCCTCTGCCACAAATTCCTTCAAGCTTTTTTTTGACCGCAGTGTCTGATGCATTCAGCTCAATATAGGAGAACCTAAGTTCCTGAAAGAGTTATACAGCTGTACATTGAATGAACATAGACATGAATTGTGCAAGGAACAGTCCCAACATTTGTGGCCAACTAGCTGACATGACCCATGTTTTGGTACACACAGACACAGTAACACATTGGCATACAAAGTAGTTCCCTGAAGCAGAAAATGTCATGCAAGGACCTGTGTATATGTAAATAGTTACAATCCAACACTCTTCATCCTAAACTCTAAGCATGATCATAAGCACTTAGTTTCAGCTTCCTAAACTAGAGGCTCCTGACATGCAGATGTTTAAACATTTTCAATCAATCTAAGGATCAATAATTATTTTGATATGCAGATTAATTCCATTAGAGTCAGAAAAACTAGTACCTATCAGCAGGATTCATTAAGTTATGGAGAAAAGGCCAAGACAGGACTAAGTAATGGCTCTGTTGATGCTGCAGTTGATGCTGATGCTGCAGACCTCACCTGACATACAAGTGTTGCCGTCGTGGTCTTCCCAACACCCGGGGGCCCAGAGAGAAGAGCTGCCCTGAAACCAGACCCATCATCTTTCCCAAAGAATTTACCTGAAAGAAGACAAGTATGGGGAGGAGTTTCATCGGGTGAGTTTGTTGTTTTAGTATTTAGGCCCTTAAACTTGTAACACTGAGTGGATGACACAGAACCCTTTGACTGTCAGGCTTATTTTTCTTCACTGTCATAAGATTTTCTTCGACAAGAACTTCTTTATGAATATTGATAGACGTGCAAGTTATTTCACTGTTAGTAACAGCTCAACTTTATCAGTGCAGCGTGTAACTACTGGAGTGTTTGCCAAGACAACATCAATGACTGTAATCACCTTGCGGCTTGGTTCCACTGGCTCTGTTATGATGCCACTGCCGCAGCCAACCGAGAAGCTTCTTGGCATTGCTCTTGTCTCCTTGTTGACCAATGACCTGCCTGATACTGGTTGGTTTGTATTTGTCCACCCACAGTAACGACTCTCCTGATTGGTCAGATTTGGATGGTGATGGTTTTGAAGATTTTTTGCTTAATTCCTCAGAATGTTTTTCTTTTTTATGTGGAACATTGTTGTTTTCTTCTGATTTTCTCTTCTCCAGTTTTTGTTTTTCTAGTTTTTCCTACAAGAGCAGACGATATATCATTAAAATTCATCTTAAATGACAAATGAACATAAGTGTAAACAATGGTTGACAATATTAGGAAACAGGATACACAATGTCAAATACTTGAGATATGCATCATGTTTGAGTGCATGGTGTTTGAGTGAATGTTGTTTTTGGCCACAACAATATTCCCATCATTTGAAAGCAGCCCGAGACTCACTGAGTATAGGCATGAGTAACATGCTACATCTACACGGTACAACTACATACACACAATGACCACTCCATTCTATTCCAGTACCAGTTTGGAAGACCCATTGGGAGTATCTTCTGCTCACTAATTCATAGAACCTGTATCATATTGACATAAACAATTTGAGCAGAAACCTATACTCTCATGTGAGCAGTGTTTCACATCAGTTTCTCGGATACACCCTTACTTTTGTCCAAAGTGTTCAAAAGGGTTCCTTCAAATTTGAAATGCTGAAAAAGTTACCAAAATCATACATGTTGTTATGACCTTTGTCACCAACTTGAAGACAACTCTCACCTTCTTGGCATCTTCTTCTGCTTTCACCAGGTACTTGGACTTTTTTCCAGGCATCTTTCGAACCAGATCCAGGAGACCATCCTCGTCAAGCTGATGTGTCTTGAACTGATTCGCCTGCATCAATCAAAGGAAAAGGTCAAGGTCATAACATCAGAATGGGTTTCTGTACTGACCGATAAAGGCAGTGGAAGCACTCTCTTGAGAGGATTCGCCTATGCTGCCTCATGCATATGAATTCACTTTTAGCATTGTCTATTGGCTGGAAATCACAAATGGACAAATTAGATTGGGCTTTCACATTTTTACAAATATAGTTGTCATAGTTCCAGATCTTTACAGACGGGTACTACTAAAAGTAATAATAAACAAAACAGTGGTAAAATCACCTTATTTAGTTTGCTCTCTCCAGCATCCCTCCCAACTACAATGTAGCTGGTTTTCTTGCTTATAGAACCAGTGACCTTGCCGCCATACTTCTCTACAAGACTCTTGGCGTCATCCCGTTCCAGTGACTCCAGTACTCCGGTAATGACAAATGTCAGGCCCTCCAGACAGTTATCAGCTCCCTGGGGAACATTCATAGAGAAAATCACAGATACCCTACAGGATTCTCATATTCAACAGATTCACAACTTTTGGAGAAAACAAGGCTGGTAATTCTTTTCTCAACAATGATAATGTTTTCGAAAGTTGAAATTCATCTTAGATGAAACAATCTTAAATTCCTAGCATGTGTATCACAATTCTTTTGTAGCAGCTCATTCCTTCCCCACGTACATCAACCTTCTCCTTGGCATGAAACTTGCCGACTGTATCTACCATCATGGGACTAAGCATGCCCCTTCCATTAAACCTGCAGGGTAATGCAGGATACTCCACTAACAAACAATCTACAAGGTACCATTAATGTCCTACCCAATCATGGTTGAGCCACACCCAAGACCCTACATGATATAAGTCCAACATGGGCCAAAATATACTTTGATGTAATCCTGACCCTCCACACAACACACCTTGTACTAATCCTTCCTCATCCTGGATGTGGATAACAACCCTGCCAATTTTAGCCCCACCTTAGCAATAGGTCGTATACCAATTTTAGCCCCACCCTAGCAATAGGTCGTGTACCAATTTTAGCCCCACCCCAGCAATATGTCGTGTACCAATTTTAGCCCCACCCTAGCAATAGGTCGTGTACCAATTTTAGCCCCACCCCAGCAATATGTCGGGTACCAATTTTAGCCCCACCCTAGCAATAGGTCATGTACCAATTTTAGCCTCACCCCAGCAATATGTTGGGTACCAATTTTAGCCCCACCCCAGCAATATGTCGGGTACGAATTTTATCTCCACCCCAGCAATAGGTTGGGTTCCAATTTTAGCCTCACCCCACCAATATGGGTACCAATTTTAGCCCCACCCCAGCAATATGTCGTGTACCAATTTTAGCCCCAACCTAGCAATAGGTTGGGTTCCAATTTTAGCCCCACACCAGCAATAGGTCGGGTACCAATTTTAGCCCCACCCCAGCAATAGGTCAGGTACCAATTTTAGCCCCACCCCAGCAATAGGGCGGGAACCAATTTCAGCCCCACCATAGCAATCTCCATCTCAGGAATACAGTGATACAAACTGTGACCCATCCCTGGCTATGTACAACTCATGCCTTACCTCTGGGATTTCCTTGGAGCCGAGGGCTGATGGACCTTCTCGGTGGAGGTACGCCCGGTAGCTTGCTCGGTTCACCAGCTTGGGAGTTCCTTCCTGAAACCAAACCAGAGATCATGTTAATGTCTGTACAAACACTCTCCAGGAGGCACTTTTGTACCTGCAGACATTCATAGGCATTTCCTGGGCATTGTGCTGGGTACTGATCGACCCATGAAATAACCCAAAGAAGGAGTAAGAACATACTCTGAAACATCTTGTTTCTTATAAAAGAAGTAGACATCCATAATTGTTCCCCTTTATATGAAATAACCCACTGCAATCATAACCCTGGAAGTTCCAGGACATCAATAAAGACAGGCAAACATGATAATGAACATTTTGATACCTATGTAACGCAATATTCTGCTAGGTTTTATGAAGTTGTACTAAATGTGTGGCAATTATCATCAGGCTCACCTTGGGACTGGTGGCAGACTTGGGAGAAGTCTTTGAAGGACTAGGTGACGAGGGAGATGTTTTCTTGCTTTCTGTTTTCACTGGGGACTTCTTTGGTGTGAAGACAATGTTGCTTCTGACTGGTGACTTCTTGGGTGACGGCTTCTTGAGTGGAGAAGTCTACATGGGAGGATAAATATTTGAACGTAAGTCAGTGCAAGACTACCAATCAGGGGGTCACAATTACCAGAGTCAACTGTCGATGAAATGAGATCGTGTTGAAGCAATTTACAATGCCAGTAATTATCATCTGTTACCTTTCAAACTACAGATAGAGTGCAAGTGAGTGAATGATGTTTTATGCTACTGTTATAAATATTCCATCTACATTACAGCAGTCTGTAAATCATAAGAGTCCTGACCAGGAAAAAACAGTGATTGATAGCATGAACAACAATTCATGTTGTCAACATATGACACAAATGAACACGGTCATGCACAGTTAATCCAACAGCTTATGCAACACTAACTCCTTATCAATCCTACAAGCTGTGGATTATGTTGCAAATCCAAACAAACAAGAAGACAAAGTCATCAATATCCCCATAATGGCAAAATACTCTTCATGATTATGTCTACGAGTTATGATTATGTCAAATATTTAGGTGTGTATATAGAAAAGTGGAAGGAGAGTATTGAAAAACTTCTGCTCCAAAAAGCAGCATTATCAATTTCAGGCTAAGTCAAACTTGTTGGAAACGCCAAAAAATATTTTATTCAGAATTTCAGAACTACCAAAAGGCACCAGTACACCACCAGACCAATCTATGTGCCCAAGAAACATTGAACGGTTTTAGAGTTCTGATTTCAGTCTAAGTCAAACTTGTTGCCATGGAAACGCCAAAAATATTTAATTCAGAATTCCAAAACTACCAAAGGCACCAGTACACCACCAGATCCATGTATGTGCCAAGTTTGGTGAAGAAATATTGAATGGTTTTAGAGTTCTGCTCTGGACTGAATTTGGGATAAAAAAATTCAGTGTGATGTCAGTATACAGCTCACCAGGATATGTAGTCCACAATTTGAAAAACAAAGATGGACACTGAATTTGTCCAACTGTCCTGGGTCCCAATCAACAAAGCGTGTGTAACATTCTGACCTGTCGTAACTCTATAGCTTATCATAGGCTTACGAAAGTCATAGAGCTGCAAACACTTGTGGATCAGGACTCAGATACTGGACGGGCAGGCCATGACAACCTGACTTGTGTTTCGGTCAAGCAGCATAATGAGTGAGTGAGTGAGTGAGTGAGTGAGTGAGTGAGGAGTGAGGAGAGTGGTGAGTGGTTGAGTGAGTGAGCTTTTAGCAATATTCCAGCAATATCAGAAATGGAAATGGGCTTCACACATTGTACCCATGTGGGGAATCGAACTCGGGTCCTCGGTGTGATGAGCGGACGCTTCAACCACTAGGCTACCCCCTCGCCCCTCAAGCATAATAAGAAAACCCTCATAAAACCAAACTTTTCCAGCGACCTGTTCAGGTTCCAAACAAAGTGAATTCAATGCAATATCTAGCAACAGCCATACCTTCCCACTTTTAGGTGTGTCAGGCACAATGACAGTAGATTTCTTGCTGGGTTTTTCTGGAGTGTCTTCCACCAAGGTCTTCATACGACTTGACAGCTTGCTTGACAGACTCTTGTCTCCTGAACACATGAAGAAGAAATACAATATTGGGACCATAGACTAAAGGGGAATTAGTGGAGTTACTATGTCTCTGTAGAAGCAACTCAGCTAAAGTCTGCACCACACTGATCAAATTTTATCCACAACATCATACAGGCTAACAGGGTGAGAAACACTTGAGTCTGCTCTACCCAGATTCCCTGAAAGGCAATGATCACTGGGAATACTCTATTCATTGAAATAAACTATGGAAACTTTACCTGCCTGCAAATGTGGCGGAACAAGGTATGTAAGTAAGGTGAGGTGAGGTGAGGTGAGGGGAGGTGAAATTGGGTTTAACGGTTGCTTGAGGATATTTCGCTCATATGACGACGTGCATGCGTGTGTATGTGTAGGTGCGGCTGCTTGTACTAGCCCAGACTGAAGCTGGTTTCATAGTGCTAGACCACTGAGATACCATGCCGCAGTGAAGCATGAATACCCCACTCAGACACATTATACTGACTCCGAGCTGACCAGTCCTTGATGTACCCATTAATGCCGAGCGCCAGGCAGGGACCAACAAGCACCATATTTTAACGTCTTTTGGTATGACGCGGTCGGGGATCGAACCCTCGACCTTCCGCTCTCCGGGCGGACGCTCTAACCACTACACCACGGAGGCGGTATATAAGTTAGGTAGGAAACAAGGTACAACTGCCTTACCTTCTCCATTTACTTTATCGGGAGACTCTTTCTTCACCTGAGACAAAACAAATGATTGTTCACAATTTATTTGTAGTTTATAAGGCTTTAAAACTTATAATCCGACTGCATCATGAGCAGTTAGTGAAATATTCCATAAACATGTTCATAATTTTCACTTGCCTCGAACATCTAAACAATCTGAAAAAAACTGAAGGAAACTGACTTTCATTTCCTCCAATGTTCATGTTTACATCTCAGGGCTCCAGATAAGGGCCTTATCGGCGTATGTACGGATATAAAATAAGTACGATGCCGTAAGAAATAATTTAGAAAACGTAGCAAATACGCACCACAGCAATGTTGTACGGTCTTAGAATCATTTACAGACGGATTTATTTGAAAAAGTATCGTTTTATTGTTTACTGACCTGGTTACACAAGAGTAGCAATGTTGTGGTGCATATATGAAACAAAACACACGATTACTGATACTCCATTAAATTCCATTCAGTACTCTAAATGTACTCTTATTGTTTTCCAGTACTCCTGTATTGATAAAATAAGGAGTACGTACTCCTGACCATGAAAAATTATCTGGAGCCCTGCATCTTGTTAATACATTCTACAAGTGCCAGTCTTTGCTTGTCATGTATTAGAATTTAAAATCCATTTTCACCAAATTACAAACATATTATTCCTGGAATAAAAATTTAAAATGACAAACCATCAAATGATAAAGACTCTCAAGGCTAAAAAGATATATGAAAAAAGGCGGCATTACTGTGATGGCAGTTTATAACATCAAAGTGATTTACTGAAAGTTTTGACCTTAAATACAGGCAGAAAATTATACAACTGCAGACCATTATTGTGATGTCAGAAAGAATACAGGTAAATAATGTGTGTTGTTCGTAACAAAAACATTGTCTTGTTCTACTTTAACAGTGAAGTATGTGGTGCTGTCAACTTGAGCCTGCACTATCTGTATTCAATAATCTGGGCTACCTACTATCACATTGTCTTGTTCTACTTTAACAGTGAAGTATGTGGTGCTGTCAACTTGAGCCTGCACTATCTGTATTCAATAATCTGAGCTACCTACTATCACATTGTCTTGTTCTACTTTAACAGTGAAGTATGTGGTGCTGTCAACTTGAGCCTGCACTATCTGTATTCAATAATCTTTTACCAATTTTTTTACGATGATTGTTTGTTGGTAATGAAGCAATCATCAATTGTGAGATTTCAACCAATTCCCAAAACTAGTTTTGAGTAATCTTAAGGAATTCCACTGGTATGTATTTGTGCAACCCAAATTCAGGAGATGTTACACACTTGAAGTCAGTCTAACACAAATGTGGGGGGTTATATAATAACCATAAAACATTAATTACTTCATTGCATTGTTTATTGCAAAGAGAATGAAAGTAGCACCAAAGGTTTCTGTCAGCTATGACACTGTATTGTAAACTCCTAAAATTGTATGTTAACAGAGTGCACACTAACTTCAGCTTTTTGGTTGGTTTAATTACCTAATCTAGATCTGAAAAAAACACAATATCTCAGATAGTCTTTGAGTCATGCTTTAGACTAGAACTTAAGCTACACATAGCCAAAATATGTTGCAGTGAAATACCTTCTCTACACACACTAGCAGAACAACATCTCGCTACAACAAACAGTTGAGTAAACAGGGTCCTGCTTAGACTTGCTAAGTCTCTTAGGTAATAATTAATAGCTTAATGATAATTTCTACAAAATATTTATAACTCTAACAGTTATCCTTAGTACTGTCTGTTTATCTAGACTTGCCTCTTTAAAGGATAGAATGACTATGCATCCATGGGCTTAGCCTTCAGTACAGCCTTGGAGCAAGGCTAGGCCCTGCTCTGTGTCACACAACAGGTAAGGCCAGACCGTTAAAGATACATTTACAAAGTGTCTACCTTAACATTTGTTTAACAATGCCAACCGTTTCAGGCATTCCTCAATGGACATTAAATTGAACAGTTTCATGAGAAAGTGTCATGTTGTACTTACCATGCTTTGTGAGTCTAACATAGTCATGAGCTATATTTCCCCAGCATGTTTGTACTTCCTTATTTGGACATTTATCTTGACAATACCTCCTTCCTGGTCACCTACTTCCTTAATAGGTAGTTTAACTTATCCAGACAAGGACAACTACTTTTACACTGTTATCAGTCATGCTGTAGAGTGAAAGCTAGGTCAGTGAATATATCCCTCATGTTAACTGATAAGCTGATATTGTCCTTGGTACAATTCTCTAGTATCACACCATACCCCTTGGTGTTTAAAGGCACTATATCACACCACACTTCTCTAGAAATAAATAATCCGATAATTATCCGAACACTTGTGTTTTTCTTGAAATTGTTCGGATAAACGAATTTTCGGATATCTGAACCGAGGACCATATGGAAAAAGACAAACAAACAAACGAACATAATAAGCCTCAGACGTATTCTTTTTTAATTGATTCATCAACAAATAACAAATACATACACAACTAGGATTGCCTCCTGGGCAATACTGGCGGTCTTCAGACCTCCCCATACACTCCCCGTGGCTACCTTTACTTGTACCGTTTCTTTGGACGCCAGCTGGACCGTCGATTTTAACTCTCGGAGTTACGGGTGTTTGAAGTGTATTCCTGGCAATTCCAGGACACTAATTGTTTTGACTGTAGACCTAAGAACAACGGGGTTGCGGCCTGTTAAAGAGGGAACTATTTCTGTGGGCACTGGAAAACCAGGAAGTGGCGATTGTGGCTAGATTTTACTGGCGCTTCCAGTGAGATGAGAACTAACTGAAGGAAGCGACAGTAAAAACCAAGCAACACTCGCCGCTTCCTTCAGTTAGTTTTCTCACAACTGAAAAAATGCGAAATCCAAATGTCCCTCCCTGTTTGTGGCGTAATTGTGGCATAACTATTGACTTTTACATAATAATAATGTGAAGCAAAATTGTTCCACATTTCATTATCTACAGTTTGGGATCTTCAAAAAGGAAATCCATTGTGTTTTCGAAGAGCTGTGAACCCTATAAAAATGCGTTTTGCCAAAAATTGACCAACTTCCAAGGGCAATAACTCAGACACTATTCAAGATATCGATATGCCCTGAGCAAAGTAAGTAGTCCGGAGTGTGGGCTTTAAAAGGATATATAGAACACTATTGTACTATTTGCCGTTCTGGAGAAGCAGATTGTTAAACACAGGCACCATCAAAAAGGTGCGGAAATGTGCAAAATCGCGAAGGTTGTCTTTGTGTCGTAATGGTGACGTAATTATTGATTTTTACATAACCATGATGTGAAGCAAAAATGTTTCCCATTCAATTACCTACAGGTTGGTACTTAGTAAACTTGAAGCCAATGATTTTCCACAGAGTTGTGACCTTTTTCTTAACCCTATGAAAATGCGGCTTAAAAAATTCACCAACTTCCAAGGGCGATAACTCCAAAACCATTCAAGATATCGACATGCCTTGAGCAAACTGAGTAGTCCAGAGTATGGTCTTTCGAACATGATTGTACTATATGCCGTTCTGGAGAAGATGATTTTTAAAGACAGGCACAGTCAAAACGCGGTAATCGGCAAAAAATTCAGTTTTCCAAAATTGCGGAAAATCTATCATGGTGGCCAACTTGTGCTATGCGTTGAGTCGCTGGGTTATGATGTTGTCTACATTGAGTGAAAATTTGGTCAATTTATCTCTTATAGTTTTGGAGTTATTCAGGTGTAAAGATTTCGACATTTTGGGTTGTCTGCCCTTACCGGAAGTCCGAAGTCGGGATTTTTTCGACTCTGTATCAATTTCAGCATACAGGCTATCATCCCTGAAAGTTTCATGAAAATTGACCCAGGGGTTAGGTCAGGAGAGCTGGTACAAAAAACGTATAAATAATAATAATAATCCGGGTAAAAACAGTAGGTCTTCCAGACTCTCATCTGAAGACCTAACAAGCTTGCGGTAATTTGCTTTGAAAGCACGGATGATTCCTGCATCCATCGGCTGAATGTGTGCCGTCGTGTTTGGCGGCAGGAAGTGAAATCTGACATGTGTCAACTTCACATTGGGGGTGTGGCTTGATGCATTCTCCATCAGTAATATAACACGCCTACTTCTCAATCTCATCTGTCTGTCAAATGCTAGCAACCAATCACGAAACAGTTCTGATGTCATCCACGCTTTTGCATTGTTCCTGTACCCAACATAAACCTCCGGATTAAAATCACTGCCAAAACAACGGGGACGTCTAGCCTTGCCAATAACAATTGACACGCCTCAAGATTAACTCAGTGTCACCTTGCTAATTAATGGCAGTTAATCCTCTCACCCTTCAAAGAATGCCGGCTTGTAACCCTTGTTTCATGTTAGGGCACGCAAGGCCACTCGGTAAAATGCGTGTGTAAACATATTGACAGGTGCTCAGCCATCCGGATATACGAGAACAAAATGCATATGATTTAGCATTTGGTTTGTGAAAATGACCATCCGGTTACGGAAACCAGATTTCCGGTTAAGTGAGTAGTTTTACAACGTTATGAATTCGTTTTAATGAATTTTCGTTCGGAAGGCGAGTTTTCCGGATATCTGAGGTTCGGATAAACGGGGCACGACTGTATTTAGATTACAATATTAAATTAAAAAGGTTTGAAGGAATGAATGCAACACAGCTTTAAATCAACTCTCGCGCCATCTACCGGCCGAACATTATTTAAAGCAAACCCTATAGAGTTATGTCCTGTGGAGCGCTCTTTACAAATATCCTACGAACAAGTTGTGATTGAAACCAGTTCGGCAAACACCATGTGTGACAGTTTTCGATGTACGGAGCAATTGTTTACATTCCATATATGGCATGTATTCTCTGTTTGGAAGCTGTCCTCCTCAAACTTTCAAGTATCGATTTCAGGCAAGTCGTAAGGTATAATAAGTCTTTTATTGCATCAATAGGAAGCTAAAATGAGTGCAGATACCCAAATTTATATAATACAGGCCAAAATATTTTCAAAAATGTGTGACATTGTGCCTTTAAGTAGATAATGAAGTACTCTGGGATACAAAAGTGAGTGATTTAAGCATACTGCAGCTTTGAACAGTATTCCAGCTATACCACGGCATGTCTGTTTAATGTGGGGGGAAAACCCGAAGTGGTGCTGGGATTAGATGTTTCCCACTTTGGTGAAACCCAGGAGCATGGTGCTTATCTGTCTCACAGACAATACAAAATATTGTACATTCCTTACATGTATTTGTAGCTGAAAAAACCCTAAAGACACTGCAAATTGTGCCATATAACTTCAAGAGCACTTTGTCTTGATAGACTGCCTCAAGATGTCATCATGACATAAAAATATCGCAAAGCAACTCATTTGATGAGAATTTCCATCACTCGTCGTGTGTTGCTGCTGTATCATACCAGTCCATGACTGTGTGTTTACACTAGTCCAGTTATAATTTATGCACTTATTCACTGAATTAAACCATACCCCCCATGAATTTCACTTTGTTATTTGTTATATAGAATACAAAAATGACAATAACATTTTAAAAAGAGTGTTTTCCACTTGGTACACATCTAGTATTTATGAAAGTGAGATAAGCTAAAAGGGATATATACCTGCTGCTATACAAGACTTATAATAGCATAACTTGTGTCATTTTGCCATTGCCCTTTATGAAACTGTCATTAGGCTTTAAAGGGCATGAAATGTTTCAGCCTAACCAATTACAAGACATGCTTGTGTGTTTTTTACTCCTTGATATTAAACAGAGTATTCTTGAACAAATGTTCATGTTTCTTACCCTATATTCATGAAACATATTGTATTCGCCCCTTTGTGGATTAATTGCCGCCCTTGAGTACAGTGGTGGTCTGTCTAATCACCATGGTCATACCATGTTGTATCAGTGTAAAACATTTCCTTGTACGTGGTGGTGTGTTTAAACACAGTTGAATTGGCAATATGCACAAAAATAGAAATATTTCATCAAACAAGAATATAATCAATAAATACACATATTTATTACCAGCACACACCTGCTCACATTCATCACACAGACCATTCTGCTGCATACATCAATCGGATTCTTTTTGAAGATGGAAAGTGGCACAAACATATTGATTATCTTGTCCGTAAAGTGAGCCCACTAATTAATTGCTTGCGTAGTCTAAAATACAGGTTAAATCGAAGAACGCTTGAAATTATGTACAAATCATTTATCTTACCCATATTTGACTACTGCGATAACATTTGGGATAATTGTAACAAAGAACAAGTAAAAATGCTAGAAAACCTACACTTGGATGCTCTTCGAACAATATGTGGAGCAGTACGAGGAACTAGTCACTTAAAAGCTTTACAGGGAAACGGGTTATTGCTCATCGTCTGACAGGCTTACATTATCATAAATTATGTATATATTACAAAATGGTCAATGGGCTGACTCCTAAATACCTATCATTATGGGTCCCACCTAGTATCTCCAGCATAACAGGATATAACCTTCGTAAATCCAACGACTTCCAGACAAATGCTGGGCTTATCCCAGTATAACCGATCTTTCCTGCCTTCTGTTGTTAAAGCATGGAATGCACTTGATATCAATATCAGAAATGTAGATTCCCTATCTAGGTTCAAACAATTGATTTCCACAGATATTCAGATTTCTTCAAATTTTATATACATTGCTAGTTATGGCCAGCGACAATACCAAGTGATCCTATCCAGAATTAGGCTAGGTTGTAGTGATTTAAAAGCACACTTATTTGACAGATTCCTGATTGATGATCCCACTTGTCCATGTGGCCATAACAGAGAAGATGCTATCCATTTTTTTTTCTGTCATGTCCCCGCTATGCCCAGTTTAGACCCGACAAATACTTTGTCCTTAACCACCTCAGCATATATACCATACTTCACGGCAATGACGACTTATCTCCTCTAGACAATGAAAACCTAATAAAATCCAGTACAGAATTATATAACTGAAACTAACCGCTTTAATTGAATTCAAGTAACAACCTATAAACATAAAATGCACTTGGTATCTTGTTCTTTCTTTTCTTTATTTTTATTTTGTTTTGATTCATTCATTAATGTTCTATTGTCTGCTCCATAGAATTAAGTCAAGGTAATAATGAATTATATGCGGAGAAGCATTGACATAGGCCATATGGCCTGTTTGCTGATCCTATTTCCATTTTCTTAAGTTGTGTACTCTGAAAAATGTAAACATTATTGGAAATAAAATACTGTTTAAAAATACATCAATCTGTTATGTAATCAACCCCAGATATCAACATGACCTAGGTAGTTCCACAAAGCGATTGCAGTGCTACCATTGTTGCAAGTCCATGTTACGGTATGGGAACTGTGGTTACCTCACAGCTACCACTGCTCTGTGGTACGGTGCCCAGGTCCTCAGTCACATGAAAGACCAAGCAAACCAGTGAGTGAGTGAGTGAGTTTAGTTTTACGCCGCACTGGATATATCTATAGCTATGGAGTCTAGTGGTGGTCCGATTAATTGAAATAATCGAAGATTGGTTGCAATGACAAAACAATCAAGCAATCGATCATGTTTTCTCATAATCGAACACAATCAATTTTGGAACACTTGTTTGCAATAACAATATTTTTCACAAGGTTGGTTTTGTCTGTTAGATTTCATTAGCACTAAAAGCTCTTCCAATTCATGATTGAATTTATTTTAAAGACTCCATGAAATTCATGTTCCTAACATGCTAGTCATCCTTTAAAGATGTGAAATTTGCAAATGCATTTTGTGCAATTTGCAAAGAAAACGAAAAAACTACATGTTTTTTTATTTATCTTTTGTGCAGTAACAAACAAAAGTGATAAATGACACTAACCAATTATTTCCGATGATTGATCGGTTGTAATGAACCAATCATCAATTATGAGATTTAAACCAATTCCCAACACTAATGGAGTCACGTGATGTAATGCTCTGTTTTGTTTGGTTGTTGTTTGTTGCCACACTGAGCATCGATCTGCGCAATTGGGAACCGATGACATGTGTCAACCAAGTCAGCAAACCCGACCACTCGATCCTGTTCGTCGCCTCTTACGACAAGCATGAGTTACTGAAGATTAATTCTAGCCAGGACCTTCACGGGTCAGCAAACCAGTGATTGATATCATGATCTATGATGAAATATTGTCAGATTGCAATGACACATATACCAGACTGCATTCTCTTTGTTTTATTTGGCTCTGTATACACAAGTATAGATTGTTTTTACCCTATTTTGACCTTTAAACCCCCAGTCTCTGCACACCAATGCATCTTGACTGTATCTACTATGGTTCTATGGAGGTTCTTAGACATTTCATTTTTTTTAACTTGTTAGTGTATAAAATGTTACTGTTAATCACCTACCATATATAGTTCTGTACAATGATCAATCATGCTTGACAATGGTATAAAGATTTATACCACATCTACAGTGTCATATTAAGGAAGTTGCTGGTAATATTGTTTCTATTTTACAACTTGCACCAAGAAATACCTAGCCTGAACTGTTAGTTTCACATCAATTTGAGTAAATAATGGTCTTGATATATGGACTACTAAAAGCTGATCTTATGCTATACCATGACAGAATTTACTAGACAAGGTCTTCCAACCAGTGAAAGATGTTGCATATTGTTAGTCCAGATTGGATCAAGCAATGTGGATAATAACAAAAACACTATTTTCCATGCTCTCGGTGCTTGCTAGTTAGTCAGGTGATCTCACGGTCAGGTGTTGACAAGGTTTATTCCCTCTCTTATGCCATGATAAATTAGAGACTGTACATTTACAGTCAGTGTTAAATATCTTTTTCAGTTGCATATGTTACATTATGCCTCAATTTATTACTATTAGTAAAATGACACAAAATGAGTAACACTGAATAATTTGCAGTGTAAGTTTACTGCAGATCACATGACAGCATTGATAAAAAAAGAAGTTACAAAGTCGCTTAATCTGACCATAATATCCATTTGATAACTTCTTACAACCTGCACAGGTCGCTGGGGACATTTTGTTGTTTCCCCCCCTGGATTTCTCACATTGGAGAGTACATACTATAGTCTGTTTGCAGTGAAACTGTACCGATGAATTTCACTTTAAACAAAAAAGTAAATCAAATTAAGTGAAATAAAGATTGCGAATCCTCATAATTTTACCTTGCCAATTGAACATTCAAATCTCAGAGTTTTATTCAGCTTAAGATAAAAGTTGTTTAACAACAATCATAAATTCAAATCACTATTATTGGTTTGTATTACAAGGGGATAAGCGCAGTAGATGGAACAATCTTAATTTCGCTTTAATCGATTTACTTGTTTGTTTAATTCATCGATACATTTACAATGCAAACAGACTATTATACCCATTAGAGAAAACTTCATGAAGAGGATAGGTCATGTGATAACAGAGACCATAAAATTTATTATATGGTCTCTGGTGATAACATGTGACCTGTCCGAGTGTGTTCCTGGAACACCGTTGCTCATGCTATCAATCAGTGCGGACCTATGCTTGATTGCTTACACACCGAAACCCAAGGTACAAGATGATATCTCAAAATGAACCATTCAAATCACTATTATTGGTTTGTATTACAAGGGGATAAGCGCAGTAGATGGAACAATCTTAATTTCGCTTTAATCGATTTACTTGTTTGTTTAATTCATCGATACATTTACAATGCAAACAGACTATTATACCCATTAGAGAAAACTTCATGAAGAGGATGGGTTATGTGATAACAGAGGCCATAAAATTTATTATATGGTCTCTGGTGATAACATGTGACCTGTCTGAGTGTGTTCCTGGAACACCGTTGCTCATGCCATCAATCAGTGCGGACCTATGCTTGATTGCTTACACACCAAAACCGAAGGTACAAGATGATATCTCAAAATGAACCTTCAAATATTTCACAAAAAAGGTTAAGGAGAACAATGGCATGTGCTTATGATGCAATCTTCACCTTATTAAACTAAACGTCATGCAAAATTCACCATAAACAGTGTATCTGGGTAATATATATTTGCAAAGTACACTTCCAACTTCTCACTTTATCATTATGATTCTTTGGCTTTCTCAGAGTGAATCCTCAGTAAGTCCATTCCAACTACAAACAGGCATTTACACGAGAGTGCATGCATAAATCTTTAAATATCTTTTGAAGTTTTCCCTCTATGGGAGTTGACCTGTCAAAATAACAGGCCTAAAATGCCATTGCCAAATCACTGACGAATTTAACAAGACCAGCCACTGACAACAGAAAACTATTTAATAGTTGGCAAAATTAATCTAAGCAAAAATATTCCGAGGAAAGTCTAACTACACTATTTACCTTCTACACAGAAAACTTCTTCCGCGTAGAGGGCGTGGCTGTACCGGATGTGTAATCCCACAATGCATCGCGTGAAATGATTCACAGGGGTCTTGTAAGGGTTCGTGATTTCTTGGAAAGAGGCCAAGCGAAAATGTCAGGAAAAACTGGCATTTCGAATCGGATTATTTTCTTGAACATAGTAACCTCTCATCGTTATGACTCAAGTACGTCAATCCCAGCGGACTTTGAAAACTAGTAAAGCTTCAATGAGTTTAGTTGATGTGTTGTTGTTTTTGTAGTACGGAGTCCCTTCTCTTATTTTACACTTCTAAATAAGCGTCACCTACGCTAAATTTCTTTTTAAAAAAACACAAACAAATTTAATGAAAGCGCTAGCAAAGAAGAAGATCAAACGATAACAAATTCAGTAATTATTAAGAAAATAGGTGTTAAATTTTAAAGAGTCCCTATATAATATCAGGGAGACTCTATAAGGGTTGTAGAGTATCCCTGATAATATGCATACGGGATCAGGCTTAAAACGTCACCACAGCAAAACGGCACCTGGCGAAAACGGCACCATTTGGACATAACGGAACCTCGACTTGGCGAAAACGGCTACAAATCTTATGGTGAAAACGGCACCAAATAAAATCTTAATTATTGGGAAAATCTTATTTGTCATTAGATAATCTAAAACCAGAATTTTGGAATGCGTCTACTCTGCCGACAGCGATTGGAAAGTTTGTGTTAGCTGATAATCGGATTCCAGTATGTTTAGATAATGAATGAGTCTGACTGACTGTAGCCGATAATCGGCTTGTAGAATGTTTCGATAGTCAAAACATCTACTGTGCCGACAGTGATTGGAAAAGCCTGTCAATTTAGCGTGAAAACATCACAACCTTTGATGTTTTAAGTACATTTACTCAACTCAAATCGCCCAAACTCAGTGTCAAAATGAAACTGTATTTAAAACGCAAGAATGTACACATTACATATCATTCATCACAATGCCTCACCACTGTGTTGTATGCGATAAGACTGTCAGGAAGAATCAACATGCCGTATCTTGTGACAAGTGTTTGGAATCGGACACCACCTTACCAGACATTCATGGGATATGCATAAGCATCCGTCCAAATATGGACTTTGACGTGTGAACATGTGTTATGTTGACAGTTTGTTATCGTCTTTATTATAATCTGTTATTTTAATGTAATGGGTGAGTGAGTGAGTTATGATTTTACGCCGCTTTAAGCAATATTCCATCTATATTACAGGCGTAGGAACTCTCCCCCCCCCCAAAAATAAATTATGTGGAATTTTTTAAGGGACCATAATAGAGAATTAAACAGAAATTCAAGCCTCTGGTAACGTTGAAAAAATAACATGATAAAAAAAATAAATTCCGCTAATGATAGAATCCAAAGTTTTTAATTCATGTCACTCAAAAAACTAAAAGTAGAGGCAGTCAGGCTGTTATTAACAGCCAACATGGATTCGAATCAGCGGTAAGTTGACATTACAGTGTAGTCTATACAGTAACAGCACGATCTCGAAACAATGCCCTATGACGCATGCATGGCAACACGGTTGCTGTGGTGCTGTATTCTAAAGGTGCTCCTGTACGAGCAATAGTGCATGAATCGATGGTTGTTCACATATCGATCCAGCGGAATATAGAACTCATCTATTCAGAACAGACCCGTGAAGATCCGGGTTAGACTTGGTTTTCACCAACCATGCTCGTCCTAATAAAAGGCGACTAACGGGATCGGGTGGCAGGCTCGCTTACTTGGCTGACACGTCATCGTATCCCAATTGTGCAGATCGATGCTCAGTGTGGCGAAAAACAACAACAACCAAACAAAACAGAGCATTACATCATACGCATGTGTGACTCCATAGCTATAGATATGTCCAGCACATCTGAGTCAAATACCGTGGTGTAAGGACATAGGGCAGGACAGGACAGCCATGGGACAGTTGCTCTCTCCTGGAGAAGTACACGCCAAATACGACCTACAGGAAACACTTGGTGAGGGAACTTTCGGGGTCGTGTATAAAGCAATCAATCGAAAGACAAATGAATTTTTTGCGGTGAAGAAAATCAAATCTGAGTCAAAAATTGATCAGACGCAACGTGAGAAGTTTGACAAAGAAACAGAATTACTGGAAAAAAGCGGAGACCATGACAATATTGTATCACTTATTGAATTTTTTGAATTTGATGGTTTCTCTATAGTCTTCGAATTTTGTGAACTTGGAGACCTTAATCGTTTTGTGACAAAAACGTATGTACCAGTGGATTTAAAAGAGCTGTTTATGTATGACATGTCCAATGGCTTAGACTTCTTGCACAAGATCAATATTGTTCACAGGGATATGAAGCCTGCAAACGTGTTAGTCACCGAGAGTCATGGACGTCCTGTATGCAAAATATCCGATTTCGGAGAAGCTAAAATGCATGCATTTGCTGGTCAATCATTCCAAATGGCACCTTATCATCTTGGCAGCTATATGGCATCAATCCATGGAACATGGCCATATATGGCTCCAGAAGTTCGACAGAACCATTACACCAATTCATGTGATGTGTTTTCTCTCGGAGTTATATTTTATGCTCTTTTTTAACATGGATTCGACTGGGGTTCCAATATGTCCATACGTCTATGGTCACTATATGTGTATGGTACATTTTGCCCAAATAACGAAAGCAGTGGAAAGGCTCCAAACTTTACCAACACAATTACAACATCTCACACTGAACATGTTGAAGGATTACCCTCAACGGATCACCATCAGAGAAGTGAAGAAAACACTTGAGACTTACTTTAGTTGCAAAAAAGGATCTATGCTGCCCGCAGGAACGGGAACTTTTCTTCCCGCAGGAACTTTTCTTCCCGCAGGACCTATGTCAGCAGGAACTTGTCTTCTCGCAGGAAATTTTCTTCTTGCAGAAACTTTTCACCCAGGAACTTTTCTTCCCGCAGGACCTATGCCCGCAGGAACGTTTTTCCCCGCAGTACCTATGCCCGCAGGAATTGTTTTTCCCGCAGGACCTATGTCCGCAGGAACATTTCTCCCAGCAGGACCTATGCCCACAGGAACATTTTGTCCCGCAGGACCTATGCCCGCAGGAACGTTTTTCCCCGCAGTACCTATGCCCACAGGAATTGTTTTTCCCGCAGGACCTATGTCCGCAGGAACTTTTCTTCTCCCCGCAGGAGCTATGCCCGCAGGACCTATTCCCACAGGAACTCCAATGTTTTACACGGGAAGACCTGCAATGCAATATTATGCCTACCTTAATAATTAATAATCACCTTACTACTAACACACCTCAATACTTGCAATGTTCAGGATGTATAGCTGTAAGTAAGGAGATTTAAGTAAGTATTAGTGTTGGTATTAGCATTAGTATTAATGTCAGCATTTGATATTAGTTTTCATTATGGGTGTGAAGGAGTGGCATAGTTCAAGTTCTGTAAATAGTGATCATGTTTTATCATTGACCTGTTTTACTTTAATATATTTAAATAATGTTATTTGTTTATTTCAAGGAAAAACAGAAACTGTTACCTATTTATTGGATTAATTTCAGATGTATGGATTAGTCATCTTGTATAGTCACTGATTTATACAAATAATCAAATCTCTCATTTCAGGCTGCATAAGATATTTAAGCAGTTGTAAGTTAAGTTGAGTTGAGTTTTACGTCATATCGACATTCTTCCAGCCATATAGTGACGAGATGTAAAGTACATGTAATACGATTAGAGCTCTTTTCTTTTGTTAAGTGTATTTCATTGGGTAAGTCCACTTCAAAGTATACATGTGTAAATGACTGACTGGCTAGTTTTGAACTGGGTGTCAAACTTTTAAACCCTTTGTTTCCACATCTGCTGTTTTCTCAAGGACACTGCACTTGGATACAGACAGGATCAGAAACTGTAGGGGTTAGTTACTTATATTATGTTCTTTTTATGCCATTATAATGTATAAGTCATGTAAAACTATCTATATCAGATTGATGTCACATATACTTTGTGTGTAAGAAATACCATATTTGATTGTATGTGTAGTTTGGTTGACCCGGTAGTAACCTGTTATGTTTATCAATGAATTGATGATAGTTTAGATGTAATGTTGTGTAAATCCATTAGTACTCATGGTATGTTTTATATCATGAACAGGTTGATACAACATTGTCAGTTGTGTGAACCGCACTGGGTACATGATTACGCACGCACGCACACACATTATTCTGAGTAATACCATGCTTATCATAAATTATCATGCCATATATGTATTGCATATGGAACTGCAACATTGTCAGGCTTATATACTAAGCAGCAAACGTCAGTTTCCTCCTCAGAAATGGATATCTGTAAACTCATTTGATGTTTTGATTGTATATTTTTGACAACATCTCCAACTTTACCTCAGCAAAGACATTCCGTCCCAAACTCGGAATGGAACCCAGGAATTGGTCTCAAAAACGCAACCTGGTCTCGGAGATGGTACGGTGTTCTCCATGTTTTTCATGCAACTCATGCTGCACGTGTTGTTCACATGGACCAGCCCTATAAAATGCACCCCTAAACCTGGTTGAAACATTCACATTACAACGTCAGCAGGATGCCGCAACTCATGACAGCTCAGGGGAACCAGACGTTAGGAAGACCACACTGCACAAGCCGTTGCCAATCACTTCCAGGTCAACGTTCGGGCCATCTACAGGCTTCAGCAACGTTTCCGAGCCACTAACACCACAAATGACCACCCCCGTACTGGCAGACCAAGGGTGACCACAAGGCGACAAGACCGCCATGTATAGAATCCCTTCATGCAGGCTTCCGAAACAGCTCACTACAGAGAACTGTTCTGCACAGATGAGAGTCGGTACTGCGTATCAACCGCAGATAGCAGAACAAGAATTAGGCGACGACGTGTCCAGCGTTACTCAGAGCAATGTGTTTTGGAAAGACTCATGGGGTGGTACAAGTATCATGGTATGGGTGGAATAGGCCTGAACCAGAGAGTGGGTCCTGTGGTGTTTCAGAACCGGTCCAGGGAGAGGAGGCGGCATCACAGCGGTGCGCTACAGCGACCAAGCCCTCACATCATACCACATTTCGCACGTCACCGGAACAACATTTTCCAGCATGATAACACCCGGGTCCATATACTGCCAGAGCTACAAGGGACTTCCTACAGCAAAACGGTGTCAACGTTATGCAGTGACCAGCCCTTAATCCTGATTTAAACCCAGTTGAATATCTTTTGTATCAAATTCAGAGGAGACTGAATGAAGGCCAAACACAGTCCATTTATTGCGCCAGGCCTCTCAGAGTGTGGTTCCAGGTGCCAATGGCCTTCATTAATCGATTGGTGCACTCCGTGCATAGACGCTGTGCTGCACTTATTGCCGCTCGTGGTGGTCACACTAGATGCTTTAGTCAAGAGTCTGAATGGACTGGGAACGTTCACGTAATGTCTTGAAATTGTGTCTTGAGTTATTCATTGATGTGACAGGATATTGTACACTAAAAATGTTTTTGATCCGCTTAATATGTCCATTTCTGTAATGATTTGATTACAGTGCCTATCTAATTTTGAATTCATACTGACAGTTTTTTGCTGTATATAAACTATTAATATCTGTATCGCTTTTGATTATGTAATTCGTTGCTTTTGTATATTGTATATGAGATAGAAAACTGTATGTATTCATATAATCTAATTTATTGTTATAGGGTGTCAGTTTATCATCATTTTGCATCAGCAAAGAATAAACAGGGTGTCAATAATACTACTAAATATACCCAGTCATCAATAAACCGAATCACATCCCTGTTGTCACTTTATCAAAGATGAACACATAAAACTGCTACATTAGGAATCCAGAGACTGGGGACAGAAGCCAAATGTGCATACATTATGTCATAAATCCATATAAGTTAATGCTGTGGAATGTTGCAGCATTACTATGTATTTTAGTCGGATATTTTTGTCTTTTTAACGCCGACATGGGCACATTTTCGATTTTTTTCTGTTATCAGACTCTGTTACACCTGATCAAGTCTTTGACCCTCAGCTAACACCATTGATGTGGTTACGTGGTATTCTAAGTAAGTGTTGTTGTATATTGTATGTGTATCTAACTATGGCGAAATGCCAAAGGTATATCTGAACATGACATATAACTGCTACAAAACGGGCGTGTTCATGACGCTTTCAAAACAGCTATAAATAGTCCCAGCTCATGCAAACATCGTAGTCTGACAAAAGGTTCCTTGTTCATTGAGGTCAGTCACCGGCTCAAGGCATTTGTTGATTTGACCTTGAGATATCTGAACAGCCAAAGTCAGGAGATAACGAAATATATAAATAACGATGACATTCCAATGATTTTACTCTGTTAATTTTGAAGAGCAGTCACAAGTCCTGGAGTAAAATGATTATTTTGAGCGAGAGGTACATGAACGTTTTCGTTTTGATGGTAAATGGTGTACTAACATAGCCAAATTCAGCATAAACCGGCCATTTTCTGCTGCCATTAGCATACAGAATTTGTTAACTGATGGACAGGGCATGTATTTATATGGGATATAATGCCTCCTTGGATCTTCATTAAGTGTACATAGAAGGGCGTGACAATCATCTTCAATATGAATTAATGGAATTGGTTTTCCAGATTCCTGGAACTCTGCTCTCACCATAATGTCTATTTAAGTCAGGGTTGTGCAACCGACCTCCAAGCAACTATAAGGCTATATCGCTCCTAAATGTTTCAAGGAACATATTTACATCAATACTGGATGAACACCTCCGTTCGTGGATAGACTTGAACGATATTTTAACCGAAGCACAAGCAGGCTCGGATATGCGACTACAAACAATATATTTACCCTCCAGACTCTATGTTCCAAATATCTTTCAAAGCCTAAAGGTTGATTCTTCAGTGCCTTTATAGATTTTAAAAAAGGCCTTCGACTATGTTGAGAGAGCCAAACTTCTATGTTCGTTACTCATGTCATGTTGCCATGGTAAATTAAATCTTCTTCATAAAATGTATTCATCTGTAAAATCTTGTGAAAAGGTGTGTAATTTTAAAACTGATATGTTCTCAACAAGTTCTGGAGTATGTCAAGGCTGCATTTTAAGCCAAATTCATTTCATCATTTTTATCAATGAATAAAGACATTTCAAGACATTGATGATATAATGATGTTACTATTTGCTGACGATGTAAATGTGTTTTTCTCTAGTCATCAAAACCAACTTAGATATAATGGAAATGATTTCATAAAAACATCACTTATCCTATACTAACAGTACAACTTGGTAGCAATCGATGTCTTTTTCATTACGCAAGCGATTTTTATAAATATATTCCGTACTTTTTGTGTATCTAACATTTTAAATGCGTAATAACAATTATTTTTCAATGCGTAATTGGAAATTTTGTATGCTTATTTTACCCGGATACGTAGCTTATCTGGGCCTCTGAGTGTCTGTACTTCACTTAGAAAGAAACAGTTATCCAAATACAACATGTTACATTTGACCACTCTGTAAAATGCATTGTCCATTCAAAAGCATTATCGAGACGCAGCTACATCATTCCTTCCAAATTGATCATTTACTGGAGCCATGTGTCCAGTAAAAGCAAAAGTATTTCTGACAACTTTGTTTACCAGTCATATGTTGTCCTTCCCTTTCCATCTGTGCTCAATTTGTATTAAGAACCTGAGGCAACACTTTTAATGATCAAGCACCCATAACTTTGCAGTGGGTAGAAATATACTTACATTCTTTCAAGGAACTCAGCATTTTTATTCTGTCTGGCATTAACTAGTTTTGCATTTTTTAGTGAGGGAAAACATTTTATAATGTTATATAAAATGCACAGGATAACCAGGGCTCCAGATAATTTTTCAACAACAGGTGTATGTACTCCGTATTTCCTCAATATAGGGAGTACATTTAGAGTACATAATAGAATTTAATGGGGTATCAGCAATTCATATATGCACCACAACATTGCTACTCTTGTGTAAACATGTCAATAAACAATAAAACAATAATGTTTCAGATAAATATGTCTGTAAATTATTCTAAGACCGTACATCATTGCTGTGGTGCGTATCTGCTACGTTTTCTAAATTATTTCCTACCGTATCGTGCATATTTTTTATCCGTACATACTCAGATACGGCCCTTATCTGGAGCCCTAGGATAACCATTCCTTAATACAACTCTTAGTTTCTTTTGATATTTTTCTTTACATTTCCTATTTCACTGTTCCACAAAATTGGAACTATTTGTGTTTTATCTATTTATTGTGTATTTATTTATTAATTTTGATGCATCTGTAAAATAAACTGAAATGGTGAAAATGAGCGTCACCTAAAGTCAATATTTTTAACATGATCCGAACAACATAACAAAAAAATAAGGAAATTGACACAAGTACATTACACAAACAAAAAATCTAAACCAACATGAATCAACCCAACAATGTTATCAATGTATATCAAAGACATCTTAATTGTCAAATCAATAGAGGTCTACATTTCAGAAACTTGATATTACCTGTACCAGGTGCATTATTATATGAGGTTATTTCAGCCCCAAAAGTTGAACCCTGGTCCAATTAATCTATAAAACTACATAGATACATAGATTTATAACCAAGTCTTAATAGGTAAAATCTCAGAACACTCTTTCGTGTCATGAATTATACACAACACAGAGATTTATTATATTGTAAAAGCCAAGCACTGATCTTCTTCATAGATCTAGGTTGAGTGGACAAATAAGGGTTAATAAGACAAAAATTCCATTTTGTTTAAGTGTCTTATAATAGGTTGTATTTTTCAATATTATCTTGCACAGGTGCATTCTTGACATGGCTAAATCGAGCACTGCCACAACAAATCAATGAATAAAGACATGAAATTGAGACAGACTATAGTGCCCTAGCTTCAGTCTATATTGAGCTCTCTTGCGTGGTGTGTATATAAGGCTAACATTGCCCCTGCTAGCTTGAGGCAGGCGTAGCTGTGTGGGTACTTCGTTCCGCTAGAACCTTTCAAACACGTTGAAACTGTAACCACTTCCCCTTGGGGAGGTGTAGAACCCACTGGCGCTGTCCTGTCTTTTTGGGTCAGACTAGGTGACTATGGAAGTGCAATGCTTTCACTGATTTTAATGGTCATTGGACTTTCAAAGAAAGTTTTATGTGGGGTATTGTTCTAATTAACAGTTCCTGGGTTCAAGTCTCACGATGTGGAACATGTCTTTTTATTTTTGAGATTTTTTCCCGATTTGTTTTTTAAATGATAAGTTGGCTTAAGAACATGGAACATGCAGTTACTGTTAAAATATTGGTATAAAAAAAATCAGATAGTTCAAATGACTAATAACAAGCCTTTTTCAAACACTTTGGGTTGAGTTGATAACTTTTAAGTTCATCTACTATAAAGAAGATCATTTTTACCCTCAGGATTACATATTCTTGAAATTAGCTGACTCATT